TTAGTGGCCTTAATACCAAAATGTTGTGAGTTTGTGATTTCGTAGAATCACCACACACAGGTCTAGTACTGTAACTTAAGATAGCTTTAACGTAGATTATGACAAACGGAAGATGTACTATAACGCAATAAAGCTAAATTCCGCCAGCTGACGGTTCTCGTAAAGGTCAGAACCGCACCCTACTAGCCACCCTTCGATTACCTACACCGTAACCCCAGAAGCTGGATTACGTGCGTCGTCCTTGAGAGCCAATAACTTCATACTTCCCTCTCAGTAGCTACGATAAAACAAATGAATCAGTTGGCTGAAATTATCACACGCTCCATTGGATACTAATAATCAACAGAATAATAATTGATATTTGCGTCATCTTTGCCAGTCAAGATAGGTGCTAACTTAAAGAATCTTCCGCTAAACGGGCTTCTGTATATGGTAGTTGGTGAGCATCGATATCTCAAGGTAGGAGCCTAGGTATAGTTAACGACGAAGTGTAGTATTGTAGTAAAATGCGATATTCTTATTCCTTGAGAATATATCAGGTTTTCTCTTAAGGGACTTCTAAGAGGTCACTCGTACTACCTTAACCGACAGCGAATCCCAGGATTTGACTACTCATAAGGTGCGAAAAATATGCCTGCAGTCTATTACGCTATGTTATGCCTCTGACTTTGTAGAATTGCGTTTATAGTTAGTGTTGGAACTGAACTTATGTAAGAACTAAAGTGGTGCCCAGTGATGTTTGTGATGCCATAAGTTCGAAGACTCCACAGAAATTGGGAGTTTGACAATATCTTTATGCATAACACATTTTTAGTAGAAGGATGCCAATCCAAACAAATCAGTAGGCAGAAATGAAAGAGTTCAAAGGCATATTTGGTGGGTTATCAATATGTCGGAAAGCTTTTGGTCTTACCTGGCTATTAGTTACACAGGCTGCGTAGCACGGCGTATGTATTCGTGATATGCTGCGGATGTGTGGGAAAATGCCTTTAGCTAGGTGCGTGGATAGTTGTAAAGAAAATGGGGGAAGCGTAAAAATCCCAGGATAGACTGGAATATAAGGCGTTTATTAAAACAAAAGACCGAAGACCCTGGGTTCGAATCCCGCTCGCAGGATCGTGGATGCGCACTGCTGAGGAGTCCCACAATAGGACGAAACGGCCGTCCAGTGCTTCCAGGTTTTCAATTGTGATGGTCTAACATCAATTGGTTCAAGATCTCATTCAAAAACTTAATAATCTCCACAACCCCTATACTCGTAATCAACATGTGCTCGCTAGTGACTAGCTTCGTGAGGGAATTCTCGGAGTTCTAGTGAGAAGCCGTGACCAGTGGAGCTAATCCTTGTCGGGTAGAGACAGTTATCTCCTTAAGTACAATGGAAGTTGGTCGCGCAATTTCGTGGATTGGTTGATGTTAGAAACTATCACCATTAGATGTCGGCTCAGTGGTCCAGTTGGTTAAGCGTTCGCGCGCGAGACCGAAGGCCCTGGGTTCGAATCCCGCACGCGGGATCGTGGATGCGCACTGCTGAGGAGTCCCACAATAGGACGAAACGGCCGTCCAGTGCTTCCAGGTTTTCAATTGTGATGGTCTAACATCAATTGGTTCAAGATCTCATTCAAAAAAATAATATGTGTTGGAACATAGCCATTAGCCTTAAAACAACAAGTACGATGTATCGCTACAGGCCGGTAAGTAATGAGCTTGCAATTGAAGTCTGGGAAGCCCAGAAAATACATGAAATGTGGTGAGCTCAATCTGTAATCAGGCATCCTAAAAGAATATTCTCGCACCTGAATTACGGAACAAAAACGCGGCATTGAATTTCCAACTTATTTGTGGAAGAGAGTGAATCGTAAGTGATAGAGGATTATCAAGAAAAAAAATCGTAGGCAATGGCAAACTATTTCGGGACATTTTTCACTCAGGAGCCTCTGTAGTGGCATTGGGCCCTAACCACACGATCCTCGAAGCTGAACACGAGATGACTCGGAAAACAGATACTTAATATTTAACGCAAGGCCATTAACCAAATGTTATTACCATGTATTTTAATGTGACTTGTTAAAATACCGTTCTTCCTTGTTATAATCTAGCTATACTTGGTGTATAAGTAATGTTCATGTGGGTTTTCATTTTAAGCGTGTTAAGCATAAAAACATGTTTTAAAGTTATTATATGTATTTCCCGATCAGTTGTCACCCCATTTTTGATTTATTTTTCAGCTTATCAATACCTGGGTGATTCATATTAATCTTGGTAACCACCGGCGCGTGATAATCTCATTCAATTTGGTATCGAACCAGAATCACGTTTATTCTGGTGGGAGAGTAGTATAGTGGCATTGGGCACTAACCACACAATCCTCAAAGCTGAACACGAGACAACTGGAAAAATAGATAGTTAACACTTAACGCAAAGAAAAACCCAACGATGGAGAGGGCGGGAACAATGTGTTGAATTAATTCGGGTTGATCGGATGGCATTGTTCGGCCTTGGAGGCGTGGCCCCTGTTGAATGCTATCTTATATCTCATATTCGTATTAAATATATTGTCCTATCTCTGGCTTAAGCTTGTTCTCCATCATGTAATGGTAATCGTAACGATGCGATGAGTTAGTGTATACGAAGATGTGACTTCCATGTAAGATCTTATAGACTAAACAGTTATGTCATTACAAATCTACAATTTTAGGATTAGGCATATTATTAGAGGCCTCGCCGAGACACGAACTGGAGTCGCTGGATTCAGAGTCCAGAGTGCTTACCGCCACACTACGAGGCGATGATGTGACTTCCACGTAAGATCTTATAGATTAAACAGTTATGTCGTTAAAAATTTACAATTTTAGGATTAGGCCTGAAGAAGTACTAATGACGAGGTAAACCGTATTTCTACACGTCTTTTAGATGAACACCTAGACTTAAACACAAAATCAACAAACCGTCTGCTTATTGTGAACTTCGACAGAGTCGACGTAATTAAGGCTATTGGCACTTTAGAGACGGAAATGTCAACAGGACCGGATGAACTACATTCTGAAATCTCGTAATAAATTGCACAATATATTACTGCTCCATTGACTACTATGTTCAATATGTCACTTCGTTAAAATGTGTTACCTACGGAATAAAAGAATTTAGTCGTCACTCCAGTACATGAAACAGAACTAAGACAACTTCAATCGAACCACAGAGATGTCAGCCTTATCAGTGTCGTAGTTAAGAGGGAAGAATAGTCAAAAAGTCGACAATGACACTGGTGGGAACCAATAACTTTTTCAACAGCAAAATATGCGGTTGAAGGAAACGTTTATCCTATGCAACAAATCTCCTTATAACAAGAGAGGGATAGATAGAGGCTCTGAACAATTGATAAGCAGTGAATGTTGTTAACATAGACTTCAGCAAATCATTTGATAAGGTGCCAACAAGTAGACTGTTTTTGAAACTGGAAAATCTTAGCATTGCCGGACTTCTCCTAAAATGCCTCAAGTACTTCATGGTAGGTCGTAAGGGGTAAGCAAGAGTGAATTCAAAGTGCTTCACCAGGAGACGAGTACTTATTGGAATATCTCAAGGTTCTGTCCTAAGTCCTTTACTTTCTACACTGTGTAAATGAACCTCAACGTATAGTTGAATCCTTAATGCCACTACACGCTGATGATGTAAGAGCCTGGCCAGAAATAATATAATATGCGGATGCATGCGTACTTCAGGCGGTTTCGAATACTGTGATTAGCTGGTCTGAAGAGTGTCTGAAGCCTATCAATGCGGCAAAGTTTGTCTACATGCATTCTAAGGATACAAAAGTAAATAGATGCAGCATAGAGGAAGCGCTTGTACTTGTGGTTCGGTCCCACATGTGTCATGGGGTGACAGTGGGTCGTGCTCCTAAGACTACGGCTTGGTGAGGACTGAGCTTGGTAACTGCACTCAGGCTTCAAGCCCCTGTTTGAAATGTGACTTGGGCATCCTGAAAAACTATACTGGGCAGCTACCCATGCAATTCCAGAACTCTGGAGTTAACCATACAAAGAGAGGCTTGAAAAGCTAGACCTCTTTACTCTGTCTTATCGCAGATCAAGAGGTTATCTGGCTTCAATGTATGGGATACTAAGAAGCGATTTTGGACCTGATATATCCCCTCTTTTTCTTCCTATCAGATTGGGACAAATAGAGAACATAGCAAGCGAGGAACAAACAAAATACACGTGGCATACAGGTTTTCACACCGAGTCATCGATCCCTGGAACCTGTTACTAGAGGTAGTGGTATCCGCAGGTTCACTTGACACATTCAAGAAAACACGGGATACTCACAGAAGCTTACTAGAAAAGAAATAACATCGGCCGTTAGCCCTCTGTTTTTACTGTACAAATCTGAATTGATACAGTGAAGCAAGATGGTGGTTTCTTCCGAAGACGCAGTAATAATAAAGCAGATTCAACGTTCGAAACCTTCAAGCTTTTGTCCTATTTAGAGCTGAGATCGACGTGGTATGCTTCACTTCTAGTCATCATTACTATAATCCTTTTATTGGAAATTTTTTTAGAACTTAAGGCACAATATAGACAAAATCACACTTAATTGCACTAAAATGGTAGAAGCATTGGTTCGCTCGTAGTCTTTTCACTCATTTACATTCGTCTATTTGCAATATTTGATATGACAGTGCGTAAGAATAACCAATAACAGGTTAACTATCAATCTCTTTGAACGAACATACTTACTTCCTAGGTATTTCAAGTTTTAAGTATCTGTTGAACGTATGCGACTAGATTAACATCACAAGCGGCTGCCGAAATTCCGGATGCTTCTTCCTTACAATAAATCACGAAATCTGAATAAATTAATGCTGGTGTGACACACAAATAGTGTGTATTGAATGACCACCTTTTTAAAGGTCTAAATACTCGGCATAAATCTTGTCGATCCTTTTAGTATCTCACTTTTTTCTTCGATGACCTTGCATTTTCGGCTGCTTTTCGTATATCATGAAAAGGCCGTGTCGTTCTGACGATCTTCGCGAGAAGTATTTGGAGAGAAATAACAAACAAAACAGCATCCAAAGTACTTTTATGCATTCAGGACATTATCAAACTGCATATAACTGGGAGGATGAAAAGAACAGGACGAAAGACTTTTACGATGATGGAACCTCCACGTTTTTCTGGTATTTCATTTGTGTTTCTTGTTTCTTATAACTAAGGAATACTCATACTGTGTTGTGCTTGTTCATATTTGCATGTATTCTCATCTACGTTGCCTTGCTAGAAAATGGCAATTATTCTTCCGAATACAATATGAAGCGGTAAGTTGACTCGAAAGAAATGATTTCTGTCAAAGTGGTATTAGTGCGGTTATCATGGTATTTGTCTTGTTTGGAGTTTTGCATACACCAGATGGCCCGTTTCTCCGACCACATCCTGGTGAGTTAACTTTTTAACTTTTTTCATTTGTAGACATTCCTTTCAGATTACTTGTCAAACCTGTCTGAATCCAAACTAAAGTATGCTGTGTTATATTTCCGTCAAAATATGTAGTATTTAATTGAACTTCATGGTGTGTTTGAGTGGATGTAGTCATTGAGTGTTGATCGTCTTTGTGTATAAATCGACTAGTGTAATCTTGTTAATGCAGACATCCCACTTTGAGTTGAATATCCTTAAGCAACTCGAACATCTCTTATATCTACGATAAAATTTAATTAGCGAGTTAGTGCTTGTTCTTTAGAATAAGTGTCTCAATAATAACCTTTTTTGATTCGGTCCACTTGGAACAAAAGGGAAATTTACTAGTCCTGATTATTGTACATCTCGTGTATCATTTCTATGAAAACAAGTAGAGATTACGTATGCTCTGGTCATTCATATTGCGTCACTCCTGTATTATGTAGCAAGAGATTCTTGTGGATCATAAGCATTCCAAACATTTCATGAAGCATCACTTGCAAGGTTACCCAGAGTTATGATGAATGTTATCGCTTCTTGAGAGGCGTAATCGAAATCACCCTCGATTTCGGTTCAGTAGTGTATCAGCCTAACCGGGGAATAGCATCTCTGTAACATGACTATCCGGTTTGAATGTACATGTGGCTGTCATCTTCATTTCCCTCATATACGTGAAATTAACCTGCTAACAAAATGTCTTGCTAAGTCGGGTGTTGTTAGAAGATTGCATTTTTACAAGGCGATCATTTCATAACACGTTCCTGATCCGACCTCAAAATGACAGAGCTACAAAGTTTGTCAATAAGTTTATAGACTGCGAGTGTTGACTATGTTAATGAAACGCTTTGCATAGACTACTCATCATCGATATGAGGCTTAGCATGAATGTGTGTCTTCACAGATTACCACTTCTTGTATCAACAGATCGGTTGAAATATTTACAAAATAAAAAGAGGCAAGTAATTAACATACAGTTGTTTGTTGACCAGTTATATGTAACTTTGGTACACAGGATCTTGTCCGATTTCATAAATATATCCTGCACTGGTGTAGTATCTAAATAGTGTAAAGTCTATTAATGATGATTTGATATACAAATGAGAAGCTTGCACATCATTCTATGTGTTATGCCTCAACATATTTTAGAAACACCCGGTATGCTTTTCAAATAATTTTAAATAAAATTAAAAAAACGGAAGTACAGTGGTAAGCTAGTTTAAAATTACACAACCATATTAAGTAAGTTTTCTGTCACGATTTGAACTCGTTTTAAGCCATGACTACTCAGGTTGCTCGGTAATGCTTTACATCTATAACACGAGCAAGCATAAAATAATTCTGTACATAACATCAAGAAATGATCAAATGACATAAACATACACTCTATCTCATCCTTATCGATCCCAACCCTTTCCCAGTCTTTTGTATCAGTCAGCTTTAAAAGCTGTGGAAGGCGGTCAGTAAAAATGAATTTCATGACTTGTGGACCTCTCTTTGTGGGTTCAAAGCTTTGTACACTAATTATAATTGAGTTCATCTTACTCAACCCGGTAGTCCTAACGCATAAATATTTCGTAAAATTTATGCTTAAATATCTGTGACTTGACATTAGCTTTCGTTGTCGTCTTTTCACTAGCGGCAAGTGCTAGAAAGACGTTATCACTATCACAGACAACTGTTATTTGGCTGACAAATAACCAAAGCTTAAACAAGTATAAATTTGGCCTTTCAGAGTGTTATTTTCACTTTCAAATATTTTATCCCGTTTTCTAATTATTATTATCGGCGATAATCCTGCCTATCGTCCTTTGCACTTTCCGTAATTTAGTGGACACATGGATGGCGTTTTCAAATAGATATTCGAGTGTATCACAAAGCCAATAAAATTTAGAAGAGTTTTGATGATGGGGAATAATATCTTTGGAACCGGATAGTGTCACCGTCCCCCACACAAAGTGTAGCTAAAAGCCGAGCATATAATTCCGCACTTAGTATATAACCTATAGATTGAGTAGCTGCTTTTGATATTTTCAGATTCTTTCAGATGAGTCTTAGTAAATACTAATCTGACTTTTACGACGATAATAAAGCACTGACCCTTCTGCTAACAGACACTTATAATTCAAAACTCTCTAAGTTTCGACACTTTTGTTAAACAGCCTTCGGTGTCTGAAATGATCTAGACACAAGGGTTTCCGACAGCTTAATAATTGTTGCTTGTTCACTAGTGAGTCCTAGTTCATATAATTATCAAAGTCGGATATAAGATCCTTGTGAGGATTCTGCGTTCTTTAAGACGTGTCTAAATTGATTCCAAATTCTGAAATTAGTCAGTCAGTCAGTAACAACGTAGAACTTCGTACGTACGTACATCAGTTCGAGTTGCCACACCACATTAGCACAGAGATGCAGTTGTCGATTCATATCCCGTAGTGGTAGAGGTAGCAAGAGTATAAGCAATAATCGGGAAGATTAGGGTTTGGAGATGTTATTTAAAGAGTATAATCCAGTGAAACAAATTTGGAAAGAGGAAAAAAGGGACATGAAAAATTCAGAAGATTAGAATTTGGGAGAACACAAAGGGTGTGTGCACCTGCGCCATTGCAAACGATTTTGAGCCATGTCATTCAGGGTCTCTAACCATTGGTTGCTATCATCTCGCGGTCCCCAACCAGGTAGTTTACACCTACCAATATGACTCAGTCCACTTGTCAGTGACTTCATGGACTTGTGCCATGTTTTGGTCTAGCCGCACCTAGCTTTCTTCCAATCTACTCCTATACAACAAAACATCGCACATCGAGGCAGTCGGTGGTTGGGCATACGTAACACGTGTCCCAGCCATCTGAACTGATGAAGTTTCACTACTTCATCAATTGATTTGCCATCCTTACCTAGTACCCGTTTCCTAACAACTGTATTACTTACTCGATGGTCCCATGATATACGAACAATGTTTCGAAGACACCTATGATCGAATACTAGTAACCTACGGATATCCTCTACTCTTACCGGCCATGTTTCACTGCCATAAAGAAGAACTGGACGAACTGCTGCGCAGTAAACATGTCCTTTGGTTGATAGACGGATATCTCGCCTACACCATAAATGACGCAAGTTGGTAAAAGCTAGTCGAGCCTTCTGTATCCGTGCTGAGATTTCGTCACACACCAGACCACAAGGGCTGATGAGACTTCCAAGATAAGTGAAGCGATCGACACGCTCAATTACTTCACTCCCTATCACTAGTTTGGGTGTGGATGTAACCCAATCCTGAAGCAACATTTTGCATTTCGATGGAGAGAATCGCATCCCGAACATGCTTGCATTGTTGCTTAGAGTGGTCAGAAGACTCTGCATTTTGTCAGCGTCTTCACCAAATAGAACTATGTCATCTGCATATTCTAAGTCAACAAGTGAACCTCCTGATACAAGATCAACCCCTGGAAATTTAGATGAGGAGAGTGTTATCTCTAAAAGTACGTCGACCACAAAGTTTAACAAGAATGGGGAGAGTGGAAAGCCCTGAGGAACACCACTTGAGGTAATCAATTCTGATGACAGTTCGCCATAAGCTCTTACTCTACCAGTTGTGTTCGAGTAGAGAGCCTTTATAAGGTTAATATACTTCTTTGGTACTCCTTTCAGTGACAAATACTTCCATAGAACCTCACGATCAACATAGTCGAATGTCGCCTTAAGGTCGAGAAATACTACCATTGTGGGGCGTCTGAATGTGTGTCTGTGTTGTAGAACCTGACGTAGTGTGAATATCTGATCTATACAACCACGTCCAGGTCGAAAACCGGCCTGGTTTTCTCTAATCTGCTCTTCACGAGCTTTAGTTAGGCGTCGAAGTATTATTGAAGCTAATATTTTAGACACTATATTAGTCAAACTGATTCTTCTGTGATTGTCACAAGAGGACTTTTGTCCTTTCTTATAGACTGGCACAATCAGTGATTGAAACCAGTCAGATGGGATTACGTCCAGTTCCCAAATTCTACCTAAGACCTCAGTTAATCTCACTGCTAATACTGGACCACCATCCTTAAAAATCTCAGGAGTAAACCTGTCAGGGCCTGCTGCTCTCCCTCGTTTCAGATTTCCTATGGCTTTTTCAACTTCGTAAAGGGACGGAGGACTTACATTAACTTGCCATTCAGGTTGACTGGAGATTGTGGGAAACTAAAGTGTGGCTGAAGGCCAGTTGAACTGATCCCTAAAGTGTTCTGCCCATCGATCCAATCTCCTGGATTGAGAATGAATAATATGTCCATCTTTCTCTGAGTGTGTTTCGCTAACGGTCGGGTTCCTAATTCCGGTTTCCTTAACGAGTCTGAACAATTGTCTGCTATTACCTATTGCCGCTGCCTTTTCCATCTCTCTTGCTTTCACTACCCACCACTGTTCGCGATCATTGCGTAGACTTCTTGTCAGCTTGCGCTTAAGCTGACTCCGCTCTTCATTATGTTCAGAGCCAGGTGGAATGAGTTTCCGAGCATTTATCAGTGCGATAGATGCTGCTGAGATCCAGTGTTGCTCCCTAACCTTACGGGTTACCTTACTAGCAGATATCACTGCTGTTTCTACAGCTTTTCGGATATCATTCCATGCTGCATCGGGGTGGGCATCACACACATGGCTGCCTAACTGTTTTCCTAGTTGTTCCTGAAATATACTCTTAGCTTGACTATCATTAAGTAGTCCCCTAAGAGGTTTCCTTGCAGCATCCTTCCGACGTCCAGTAAGACGCAAGCAAATACGCGCTCGCACTAGAGTATGATCTGAATCTAGGCATGTGCTATAGAATGAGCGACAGTCTTCTATCGAGCCCCTCCATCGGTGGCTGATAACGATGTGATCTATTTGGGTCCAACGTTGGGACGAATTAGGGGGTCGCCATGTTAAAAGATGTTTTTCCTTATGCTTAAAGTTAGTATTTGCAAGGAACTGCTTGAGGCCGGTCGCGCAAGGCCTTTTTGTGGGAGGTTTTTGACGTGTTAGCTCCGTTCTTCAAAGGGCCTTACCGCCGGAGACGGAAATCCGTGAGGTAAAGTGAGGTCGACCTTTTCTAACCCCACCCCTCCTTGTGGGAAGGCAGCATCGCTGTCATGCTGGTTGTCCGAGGGAAACACCTTACTGCTGTCACACCCCTCTACAGTCAGCAGTACGACTTCGCCCTCAGACCTTGAGTTGCTGCTTTTAGTCTTACCGTTCACCAATCGACCTGCCTGGCATGGTAGAACCTGCAGGAACATATGTTCCAGCCATTATAGCTTGGTTGGGTCATCACGATAGGCAAGCCCGACCACCGCGTCAAGGTAGCAGCTTCGATCGGAAATTAAGACATACATGCTTTATAACTCTCCTTTGCTCAGCCTCTAAAATTTGTAAAGCATTAGTCACATTACCAATGTTACTGGAAATATTTTAGTAGTGCCTTGATTGGTGCATATGTATAATTTGTGTATGAAATATATTCACCACACATAATTTACATGTTATATCGTTTCATCAGTTATAATTTTACCTTTTTTTCAGCATTTTGGCGCTTTATACTCTGTCTTAGCATTTTATATGAGCTTATACTAGTTTTCCTGTTATTTCAAGTAAGTAGTATGAAGTGGATTTACTAGTTTTGAACGATATTTAAATGCGAACCATTTACTAACAAATATCAATTGCCCAGTGCTTGTATTGAGTTGCTTATACTAAATGCGGTGCGCAGCTACTGCTCTAAAGATTTATAAACTTGTTTTCCCAAGCATCAGGTCACTTTTGTTTGTCGTGTTTGGTGAAGAAAAGCCTTAATCGATCAACATTTTACCTTCTAAACTTGTGCACGAATTTCAATATTTATGCGGATTCTTATTTCTTTTCATCACTAGGTTGATTAACTGAGGAATTTTATTTCGAACTCAGTTTATTACTGTGTGCTACTTAAAAAATGTTGATTTATATTCCTCCGGCTTCATATAACTGAAATGGTAAAATGTCCGTCAAAGAGTTGTACTCTTGTCATGAAAAATACACTAAAACTATCATTGGTCGTTTGGATGGCTAAGGCGATAATTAATTACATGTGTCATTTGAGATATGATGTTATTCAAAATACAGAGGAATATATGTCAACAGATAATGATTTACCACTAACTAATCCTTTCTAAATGGATTATAAGCTTACAAAATGTTAAAAAGTCGTATAATAACTCCTTTAAGTGCAAGGTTTCCCACTGATCACTTTATTTAAGCACGAAATATTTGATCAAATTTGGAGCCGTCATATGAAAGGGATGTTTTTTGTCAAAAAGATAAGTTTTACACTGAAAAATCAAAACTTATTTATTAACAACAAGCTATGAACAACGGAAAGTAACTTTTGGGGTAAAAATGACCAGTAAGACAAAAGGCGACACAATCCAATTTTTTTTACTACGCATCTGCAAGATATGTCCAACGAAACTTAAAAACGTATTTGGAATGGAACTGTTTAATCATATCAGTCTTTGAAGGATTCCTCACGTTTGGTTGGAACATCAAATGAGTAATGGTAAGGTTTATGCTTAGGATATTTGATGAAAAGAAGAAGAGAGTTGTTAAGGCTATCAATCTTCAACCGTGGAAATGCATCCGCGTGACTGATCTGTGCTTTCGATTTGTCCACCCTTTAGGAAATAAATAAGTGGTATAACCCTTTGCTTGCACAAAGATTAGCCTGTCTGGTTCAGGGGTTTCGATTTCAAAGGTATCCAACAGAACATCAGGAGGTATTCTGTGTTGAGTCTCGTTGCTGGAGGTCGAAGTTGCTTTCAGTTGGATAGCATAACGCACCCAAACTTTTGAGCCAACTGACACTTCTTTTGCACGATTCGACCAGCTATCCATGTAGAGTGTTTACCACGATAGTCCATAACAAATACACTTTAATCCAGGGTGAACAATCTTCTTTGCACCTCATGATGTCGATTGAATTGCTTTCCCATCAATCTGTTTCGTCGAGGCTCAAAAGCTGGCGTCGGATGAATGGCGTCAAAGTGTGGTCGTATTATTCTGCCAAGTAAAGCTTTTGATGGAGAGACCCTATAAATTGTTTGAGGATTCGGCACAGAACGATAGATAAGTAGGGACTTCTCTCTCTCCGGTTGTCCCCTTCTATTTTGATTTCTTCAGAGCATTTATAAGTGTACCAACAAGGCGTTCTACTTGGCCATTGAATTGAAGATGGAATGGAGGTGTTCGGCATAATTGATCCTGTTCCATCAACGAAATTCTAAGAAGATAGCAGACGTAAAATGTGTTCCATTGTCTCTAGCTATTAATACTGGGACCTCGAAACGACTTATTAGTTGACGTAATTTTTTTATTGTGGAGCTTGCAGTTCGATGTTCCATGAGAAGAATTTCTGGCCACTTGCTGTATGTACCAACTACCAAAAGGTAAATATGTCCATGAAGTAAGCCAGCGAAGTCTAAGTTCATACGTTGCCACAGTGACTGTGGTACTGGCCATGGTTGCAGCTACGTTTTCCTTGGTACTTTTGTTGCTAATGTGTATGTGGTACACGAACGGAATAGCTGCTTCAGTCGAGTGTGTAAGTGTGACCAGTAAACATAACTTCGTGCTAGTGCTTTCATGAAATTTGTTCCAGTTTGTTCTGTGTGCAACTGTTCAAGCACTGCTGGTTGCATCTTCTTTGGGATTATGACACGTTCGACAAACAGAAGCCAGTCATCGATGATTGAAATGGTCTACGCCGGTAAAACTGCTGAAGTTCTGTGGGCTGATCTTCAATTGCCACCCTTATATGTGGAACTATTTAACTTCTTATAAGACTGGGTCAACATTATGGAAGCTTCTTCGACACTACGGCATACCTGAAAGGATAGTCAATATCATAAGGAATTCCTATGATGGATTAAACTGCAAGATCGTGCATGGAGGACAGCTCACAGACTCGTTCGAAGTAAAGACCGGTGCCCGGCAAGATTGCTTACTCTCACCCTTTCTCTTTCTCCTGCTGATCTACTCTACTGGATTATGAAGACGTGAACATCTTGGGGAAGCACGGGATACAATGTATGTCTAGGATGCAGTTGGGCGATCTAGACTTCGCAGATGATCTAGCCCTCCTATCGCAATCGCAACAACAAATGCAGGAGAAAACGAACAGTGTAGCAGCAGTCTCAGCAGCAGTAGGTCTCAACATGCACAGAGAAAAAAGCAAGATTCTCCGATACAACACAGCATGCATCAATCCAATCACAATTGACGGAGAAGATTGAGAGATGTAAAAACCTTTTCATATCTGGGAATCGTCATTGATAAACACGGTGGGTTTGATGCATATTTGAAGGCGCGGATCGGCAAAGTAAGAGCAGCATATCTACAACTGAAGAACATCTGGAACTCAAAACAATTGTCAACCAGCACCAAGGTCAGGATTTTCAATATAAATGTCAAGACAGTTCTACTGTATGAGGCGGAAACCTGGAGAACCACGAAAGCCATCATCCAGAAGATACAGGTGTTTATTAACAGTTGTCTACACCAAATACTTCGGATCCATTGGCCAGACACTATTAGCAACAACCTACTATGGGAGAGAACGAACCAGATCTCAGTTGAGGAAGAAATCAGGAAGAAGCGCTGGAAGTGGATAGGATACACATTGAGGAAGGCACCCAACTGCGTCACAAGACAAGCCCTCACATGGAATCCTGAAGGCCAAAGGAGGAGAGGAAGACCGAAGAACACATTACATCGAGAAATGGAGACAGACATGAGAAGAGTGAACAAAAATTGGATAAAACTGTAAAGAAAGGCCCAGGACATAGTGGGATGGAGAATGCTGGTCGGCTGCCTATGCCCGATTGGGAGTAACAGGCGTCAGTATTACTGGGTGTGGAGAAGCTTTTTTCTCTGACTTCATTTGATGACAATCAAGTGTTTTAAATGACCTCTGCTACTACACACCTTATTTCTGGATCTAGTATTGAGGCAATGATCATGTCCTCCTGTCCAGGGTGTTGATCTCTAATTATTCGAGAGAGAGAGAGCGTCAGCTTGACTGAAGCATTTGTTGACTGACACTTGATATTGAGGTCATAACTCGGGAGGATTGTCGCTCAGAGCTGTAGTCTGTTAGCCGTATAAACAAAGATTCCTTTCTTAGAACAAAAAATGGCAATTGAAGATTTGTGGTCTGTCAGTAGGGTAAACGTACGGCCATAAAGCATCTTATTTAATCCTTTAACAACAAAATTGATTATAAGGGCTTCTTTTTTAATTTGACTGTAGTTCCGTCCAACTGGGTTGAGCGATCTAGCAGCATGAACAATTGGCTGCTCTGACTTGTTCGGAAACACGTGAGATATCACTGCTCCAACTACATTACTAGGGGCAACAACAATTCCCAAACTGGGATCGAAGTGTGTTAAAAGAAGCTTTGAGCTGAGCATTGATTTGACTTTGTCGTAAGATGCTTGACATCATGCTCCAAGGTTTGTCTTTTGATCGTATTTCATTCAGGCGACATCTCATTTGGTGCATTTCAAGCAGAAATGTGCAGTAATGACTAAATAATCCAAGGAAGGATCTTAATGAAGCAACATCAGTTGGTGCAGGCACCTTCTGAATGGCTTCTGTGTTGGCGACCGTTCTCATCTAAGATGAAACCAAGGTGTTTGATCGAATGGACGATAAAGATACAGTTTCCTTCACGTAGTTGGAAACCATACTCCATCACTCAGTTGAGAACTTGATGTAGTCGATCAGAAAGTTCACTGCCATAACTATGATATCATCTAGATAAGCTACTGTTCCAAGTATACCTGTTAACATCTTATCTATCAGTTGCTGAAAAATGGCAGGTGTGGTCTTGATACCGAATGATGGGCGGTTATATTGATATAACCCTCGACGAGTGTTGATAGTAAGAAGCTATCTACAATCATCATCTACTTTCACTTGCACATATATATCGGAGAAGTCTATTTTCTCGAAACGTGTCCCACCATTAAGCTTAGCAAACAGGTTTTCAGGAACTGGTAACGAATACTGATATACATCCAATGCAGCGCTTAAACCGGTTGAGAAATCGGCACATATGCTTATAGTTCCGTTGGCCTTCTTAATCACTATGATCAGTGCGGCACATACAGAGTAGTTAACTGGTTGGATTACAACAGCTTGTTGTAAAACATTTAACTAGTTCAAGAGCAGCATACGGTACAGGACGTCTCGAGTGAGAAACCTGTTTGGTATCTGATTTCATTGGTAAATGAGCTTTCATCTTGGTGCAGTGACCAAGGCTATTCCGGAAAAAAACAGGCAAAATTTCTTTTCAGCTTTTCTAACAACCTTTACCTATCTTTTTGCAAGATGATGAGCACAACACGTTGTAGACACTGTTAGTGAGTATATCCATTCTTCCGAGTTTTTCTAGCATACCTAAATTAAGATCAAGGTTCGACCGTTCTGTTAACATATTCATTTACAGTTAGCTCCATTGAAGGAAAATTCACACTGTGATTCGCCAACCAGTTTTAGCACTCTTCATAGATAGTTTCATTAGCGGTTTCCCAAACAGGTTATACGTTTTTCTAGACACTAAGGTAATATTGTATGCTGTGTCAATTTGAAGAAGACTTCATATACCGTTAATTTGGATAGCAACATACTTTCTCCGAATTTCATGGTGTGTTTGGTAAACTGCTACCTGAAAAAGAGCTTTGTATTCGGCTGGTTTCACCACGTGTTGATGACGTTTATGTTTTTTGGGTTGGGCCGTACGATTCACTGAACAATGACCTTTATGTTCACGTCTGTTGCACACCTGACATATAGACTTCTTAAATGGGCAGAATCGTACGTAATGCCAATCATTACATAACCAATAGGCAATCATTGGTTTGTTAAAAGTTGTTTTCGGTTTCTGAGCATTTAACCTAGTAATAGCGTTGACACTACTGCAGGTTAAACTCGGATTTACCTGTTCACTTAACTCATTGTCGTGTCTGATGTTTTGTAGCCGTTTACACTTATCTTTCAATGTACTGTGTGTGACGTTTACATCTTGATCCCGTCAAGTTCAAGGTCTATTCGTGATCTCAGCACCTTTGGTGACTGAAGAGCTTTAATGAATATTAGGCATTTAAATAGGTCTTCTGTCAATGAGCGTAACATGAACCATTCGCACTCTCTGTTGACGACGTCTGCTAGAGCACCAAATTCATCAGCTTCGTGTTTCACTAAATTTGGACACTGATATCGAATACTAAACAGTGATGAGGATTCACCGAATGTGTTTGACAGTTAAGTTACCATTTCTTCGAAACTGACCTCTCGAGGTAGATTCGGCAATATATGGTCAGTATACCGTGCATGTTCATTGCTTTCCAATGTATGCATCAACAATCCAATCTTCCACGCGACATCTTGTTTTCAGAATCCTATTCTAAATGTATCTTCTTAACGCTTGAACCACGTGAGCAAGGTATTCCGACTTTGGGGATTATAGTTGAACTTTGGGATACTGCTGGCTACTGCATCAAAAGAAGTATTTGGAATGGCGTCTGAACTCGAGCAGTGGATGTTAAGCTATTTTGTCAGTCTCCAACAACCACATTGTGCTTACTGTTGTAATATTCGGTTGAGCTGGTTATCTGATATCGGTATCGTGAATGTGTTTTCCTTTTTTCCTCGTCGTTATGATTTCTGGTATTACGACCCGTTCACTCTTATTGCTTAGTATTCTTGGACACTACTTCACTCGAAAATTCCTCAAATCAAAACACGGTTTAACAGGAACGAAATTATATTCCAAATAACGAGGGTAGATGGAAGTAGTAATCACAATAAGATAAACAGTAGTATATTTATAATTTCTACATAAGATTCTAGAGACTTCTCCAAATCTGCTAGCGCCGATTGGTTAGGAAATAGCTAATCAGGTTGCCCCAACATATTTCTGCACGGAACATGCTTTAAACCCGCTAACAATATGCTTCACTGTTTCAGCGATAAAAATAAAATAAAATAACACTCTCGTCGATTGAATTCTCGGGTATTGATCTCCTTCCAGGAGGTCCACTTATCGACTTAGAATACGCAGATGACATAGTCCTGTTTGGTGAAGACGCTGACAAAATGCAGAGTCTTCTGGCAGCACTAAGCAACAATGCCAGAATGTTTGGGATGCGCTTCTCTCCCTCTAAATGCAAGTTGTTGCTTCAGGACTGGTCTGGGTCAACACCTGAACTAAGGATAGGGAGTGAAGTGGTCGAACGCGTTGACAACTTCACTTATCTTGGAAGTCTGATTAGCCCTAATGGGTTGGTGTCTGACGAAATCTCAGCACGGATTCGATAAGCTCGTTTGGCTTTTGCCAACTTACGTCACCTTTGGCGAAGGCGAGATATCCGTCTATCATTAAAAGGACGAGTATACTGCGCAGCAGTTCGTTCTGTTTTACTTTACGGCAGCGAAACATGGCCCTTAAGAGTAGAAGACACCCGTAAGTTACTAGTATTTGACCACAGATGCCTTAGAAATATTGCTGGCATCTGATGGGATCACCGGGTAAGTAATAGTGAGGTTAGACGCAGGGTATTAGGGAATGATGGTAAATCAGTTGATGAGGTTATGAATCTTCATCGACTGAGATGGTTGGGCCACGTATTACGTATGCCTGAACACCGATTACCACGACGTGCAATGCTAACCGGGGTAGGGGATGGTTGGAAAAAAGTTAGGGGTGGCCAAACCAAAACGTGGCATCAGTGCCTGAAGTCACTAACTTCTAGTCTGAGCCATGTTGGTAGATGCAGACTACTTGGTTGGGGTCCGCGTGACTTTCGTAACCAATGGTTGGAGACTCTTGGTGACATGGCTCAGAATCGATCACAATGGCGTCGGTGTATACACTCCCTGTCTTCTTTTAAACTAAGAGACTAAAATCACTTCATTCTTTCTGTCTACGAACTAATTCTTTCTTCCTATACTATATCCTTATTGCAACCTTTGACCTAACCACTCCTATGAATCCGCTGTTCATCTTGCTGTGCTAATGAGGTATGGCAACCTGGACCGATGCACATATGTGCCTGGTCCTACGTTGTAGCTGACTGGATATCTGAATTATTTCCCTCTGGCTACTACTCAATTTTAACTCACTCATTTGATTTGCCATCAATAAAAGTATACCAACCGGAAATTATTATTTCACGGTTACTTGGGATATTGGTAAAGCGCAGCTGAAACGTAATTATAATCGTTTTATATTTTATCGAATGAGATCATTCAAACGTATTTGAATAACTTGATGTCGGTGGGTAAAATCGCTCACAAATAAGTGCAAATAATACACTGATCTCCTTTTTGATATTTTCGATCGTTTAATACTGGTTTTAAGCTTTTTATTATAGTGATTTGGTTGTCGATTTTGGATCTTATCACTGGAGAAAAGATGTCAACTAGTATGAATTAAATTTGACTTGATGGATCGTTAGTGGTTACTTCTTTCTAATTATCATTCCCAAAGTTCATTTATATTACTTGTATATACATACCCTTCAAAATTGTTCCTTCATCCAATTGTTTGCTCTCTATTATAATTTTGACTGTTGTGTCTCATGTCATGGTTTTCGCTGTTGTATACTGTTTTTACATTATTCCATTATATAGAGTGTAGACGATGCTCGTCAGTGGTTACGTTACTTAGACTTAGAGCTTGGTAAACCTTTGGAAGAAAAGGATTATGGTGGGAATTGCCGAATATACGATTGGGATAGACCAGACAACCCATGGCACAATATCATCGTCAGTATTTAACGTGTTACATTTATTGCCAATTTTTTATAACCTATGGGTTCGTCTTTTTGTATACTCACGTATGTACATGTCATATATGTGTTAAGGCTAATCACATGCATCCTTCCAAGTTTTTTTGTATGATTTTTTATGCACAGAAATATATAAGTTAGTTTCAGATCAATATTACAATAGTGGGCCAGTATGCACTATAATAGGGTTTCAGGGCTTCGCTGATTGGAAAAAAACACTATTTAGTATACAGGGAAATGTATATGTGTATTAATGTATGTATAGTATGTATAGTCTATTAATTGTTGTTTGTGTCAGTCTGTCCAACACAATCTGTCGTTTGAACAGAATTACTTTGATTGATGATTAGGTGTTGCTTATCTTTGTGATATTTTTGTAGTATAATTTTTAGTTGTAGTAGTGTAATGAGTGAGAACATAGGCGGGGGAAACCAGGATATCTTGGTAAAATATAGCGAACGTACACTGAATACTTCGTTTGCAAATTTCCATCACTTGTCCTTCACATTCTGTATGATTCCTCAGTTCCTAATTCCTTTCTATCTTCCTCACTATTCTCTCCAACTTGATTTTCTTAGCCTTCTGCTGCCAGGTTTTCCACGTTCGATCGGTATTACATACTACTTATGTCTGTCGACATAAGTGGCATATACCACATTAGCAGTAATGGTGTTTTCTATTATTAATGAATAAGTACGTCACATTGTAAGCTGCAGACACTGGAAAAGTGCATAAACATTCAATTTATTAAACATACTTCTTGTTTGGAATAAATAATTAATATATAAGCTTTGATTTCTCGTTAGTTATTGTCGTTCACTTTAAAGCTTTGGAATCGATTCTGTGAGCTCTGGGTTTTTTACATTGTTAATATCACATTGAGGGATCTATTTTAATATCCCCTAGTTTTCAATGGTCCTACTGTTGTCAGAGTAGAACAGAAACTACTTTTCCTTTCGAGCTATTAAAATCTCTTAACAAAACGCCCTATGAAATCCTTTTTTAATGCTAAAAATCTCATATATGACAAGCTTCATCGTAAATAGGAATCTTACTTCAATTGAATCGATTTGTCCTTATACTATAACTTCACAGTCCTTGTCATAATTTGACTGACATCCAATGAATGTGGAGTATGGCCAATTTTGGTAACTATGCCAACTTTATCATAACTAGGTGTAGACATTGCATGAAAATTAGGTATGCCTATATATATATCGGCTTTTCAATTCAATTTGTTTCATCACGTAAATAGACTTTTGTTCTTACCAATATTGGTATGCAAAGATACGTTTGAAGAAAATAATAAATGATTAGTGCTACTCTTGCAATAAAAATTGAAATGATGCTTTGCGTATTTCAAAAGTCCTGAAAAATTCTTTTCGTTCATAAAACATTTATGAGCTTTATTATTTCCAATTTAACACTAAACTGAATCAATTGTCAATAGTTAATGCGTGTTAATTGATGAGAAAATCAGGTGATTTTTAGTTTATTTCAAAAAGTTAATTCCAACTACCTATTTATTCACATTTTTGTGTTATCTCTGTTGTACATACCAGTATACTAGTAATATGTGCCTAAATCACTTACTGAGATCTGATTGATACAAACACACACTTTGTGTAAATAGCAGTAATAGTAATTGGTCGCTTAAGCATTTGTTTATTTGTTCTTTGAGACTTCTTGTTAATCCGTACCCATAACTTTAAAGTTAAACAGTTGTCCTGTAATTGTCCTTAGAAAAAGTCAGTTCGTGTTTAAGATACATGACTAAAAATTAAGTAAATCTTTATTTTTGTTTTAGTGCTTAATTCCTGAACTGGTATAATCAAAATAGATAGTATGAATCTAAAAAAAGTTGTTCAATACATCTAAATCATAAACTTTTTAAATTATTAAATCATAAAATTGTGTTCTTTTACATTGTAAATTATTTTTAGGAAACTATTAATAGTTTTTATAGTCTGAAAGTAAAGTGTGATGCTGATATTCCAAACATGTAGTCTTTAGTGATCTTTGATGTATCCCCCTCTGCTTTCTTTTTGTAGTAATTTGTTTTTTGCTTTCATAGTTCTTATCGTTTTAATTTTCTCATCACGGTTTTGTACCGTTATACAATTATGCCTATTCTATGTTATTATTTATGGGATTCCAATTAACATTTAGATTGCTCATATATTTGTAAATCTTTGTTGGTATCATAAATTTATTCACGTACAAAAAAACACAATGAAATGGTCAAATGCTCAAATGTAATGTATGCTACTTTTCACTTACCCCATGATTTGTGAAGAAGTAAACTTGCTGAGTAATTATGAGAAAAGATTGCTAAAAGACACGAACATGTCTTTCCATGTATAGAATTACACTTACAAATTCAAACAAATAAAACTACAAATAATAAAATAGAAGTAAGAATCAAATAAACGTTTGATTAGTGTTACTTCTCATTTGACGCTCATAAACGATAGATATATACATCACAGTTTGTCAAAGCAGATGTATCGGTTTATGGAATGTAAGTTGGAATCAGTAGCGTAGTATAGCATGATAGTGAATACATATTTAAATAAACTATCTAGTCCCATAAATACAGTACCATACTTTTTTGTTATGAACTGAAAACATTGAATTCATGATTGCTGGACGGTAAACGCTACTAAATAAAATTTATTCCTTTGTATCTTCATACTGTTGGCTAGACTTCTAAATTCATGCACTTAATCAACTTCTCCATCTGTCAGCTTCCAAGTATGATAATTGCGTTTGGTGTTCTCTTAGCTTCTACTTTTAATTGTTGATGTGTCATCTATAGATTTTTAGTTTCATCCTTGTCTTGGACTTGCAAATCTGTTTTATTATTGAAGCTTTCAGGTCAAGTATTTATTTGAAAAAAAAATTATTATTTGTCTTTTCATGGTAAACGTGTAGGTTGGTCAATACATACATTTTGAGTTGTTATGAAATTGTTTGTAGTTTACTGGTGTTTCGATTCAATTCAGTTTGAGTGAAACAGTTCTGCTGATTTTCTGATATGATTGTATAGTCAATTTACGATCAATATTTTTTCTATAATGCAAATATTTCTACATTTTCTCTTAATTATATACGGTTTTACAAAAGTTAACCAATAATATTTGCTTAATATCATATAATTATTGTTACTTATTATATTTAACGGTAGAATCTATTTTTTTTTCTATTTATGACAAATGCAAATTTTTTTACTTGTTATTTTATGAAAAGTGATTACTGACTTACCAATATATATTATGCATAGTAATAATGATAATAATTCATCATTGTGTAAGCCTTATTTATATATACTTATCCAACAACAACAACAACAACAACAACAAAAATGTACTTGCGTACGTGACTCTTCAAGTCAACATGATAATACTAGTAGTTTTTATTGTTTCAAGAAAAAAAGATATTTAATCTATTAGAATGATAAATAAATTTTTTATTGCAAATAAGAATTAATTTACTTGTATATATCAAGTGGGTTACTGACTGTTTATATCTAGTTTAAATTCTTTTAATTCTTAATGCTACTGTAAAAATTATCTTGTGTAAATTTCATAATCAAACTGTGTTCATTAGTTGTACACTTAGTTTGTGTTTAAATACGAAAATAATAAAATAGAGAAAACACGTCTAACCATTTGTCTAGATCTTATTTGTTACCAGATTACATACAGCATAAAACATTTAGCTTCATTTTTCACCATACCAACCGGATGAGTTTAATAGTAGAAAGAGAAAAGGCAGCCCAACTATTCCAGACAGTACTGCGGTATAATATTAGAAAGGTGTACCTCACAGAAAACTCATCTTCAAGGATACTACTTTCTACAGAGAGAGGAAGGGTTTAGAAAAGGTTAACCCTTAAAATACACGTGCTCCGTTTCTTCATGGATTTTCGGAGTAGGAGATTAAGTCAGAATATTACGTAGTTGATGCAGCCAAATATATTTACAAAAGGGTTGTGTGTGATTAGCGTCAAACGTATGCGTTTTGGCCTCTTGTCACATTAATCACCATCGGAATAAGAAATGGCGCTTCATAACTAGTCTCCTTTTATGTTAGGTGTAATCGTATGGAATAAAATTATCGATATTATCATTAATTTTATTTCACTATTCTAAATCACTAGTATACTAGCAACTGATGAACTCTTAAGATAATTACGGCTTTTATCAACTTGTCCAGCTTGTAATACATTTTTAATTCAATATCTTTTACTCACTATATGAGTGTGTATGTTTACAATAACATGATGTGTAACAGATATTTATCGACTGTCTTTATAAAACACATTTTATCTCAAATAGTTTTTTTTTCCTGGAAATCTAGTCAAAAATGGATGGTTTCGTGACAGTTCATTTTGTTGGCTGGTGGGCTAAAACATTAATCCTCCGAGATTATTGGATATGCAACGTCTTAAGTTTTGCCTTTGAAGTATTAGAATACTCATTAGAGCATCAGTTGCCGAATTTCTCAGAATGTTGGTGGGACCATGTAAGTTCGGATTTTGAATTATTACTCTTATTTTAAGCATCGATATATATACAACAAAAAGTCCGTGCTGTTTCACAAAATATAATTTGGGTTTATTTTGTAATTAACATATTTAGATTCTACTGTAAATAGTTTTTTAGAACGACTGATCATTAAGGATATTTCATCTTCAATAGAAACAGCGCACTTATTAACTGCCATCGATTTTTTGATTTAGTCCTGCCTACTACTATTGTCATAAATTATTATGCCTATGATTCTGTGTTTTATTAGACTCTGTGTGTCATTGTTATTACCTGACAATTCGATTCGCTCCCTAACACTTAACATGACCGGTTATTAAGTAGTATGGCGTTTAAAAATCTTTCTTTAATGCCGAAATTAAACAGTAATCTTTGACAAGTTTCTTTCTCTGCGCTGAATGGTTCATTTGTGAGTGAAGGTCTGCCTTTATTTGCCTATCAGTTAGAAAAGATGCAAAAACAAATGGCTTATGAACCATGGTATGAAATTCGCTGTTCATAATTTATTAACGGATGTTACGAAATGTATAGTCCCTCGGTAATAATATTTCTCTCACTTGTTCAAATACTTTGATCATTGAGTATTACAAAGCTGTGATGTGATTAGGGTTTTCCTGAATATTATTTTTGACAAATCAGACATCTGACGTTACAGGGAAGTGTATGGGAATCACCTTACCGAATCTAACTAATTTCTAAATGTAATTATCTAAATTAACTCAGTAGACAAGTCCTTAAATGTTTTAAATACTAACAGTTTATATGAAAAGATGGATGGTAGTTATCAGTGGAATCTAGGACGCGCATTTCGTTTTACTTGGGACTCGTCAGCTGGATGTACCTGCACCTCAGTGTTGTTCACTCCGGGACTCGAACCCAGTACCATTTGCTCCAAACGCATCGTGTTATCCATTTAGCTACTGAGCCCTAATAACCGGTAGCTTGTGCGATGACGTGAAGTTTAATTCATTTTTGTATTGGTTGCTTGAATCTTCCGATCGATGTTTAGTATTGCAATTGATCAGTCTCTTATTGGCATATGTGCATACTGTAAGGACTGCCTCGATATCGCCATCAGTTAAAAGCAACCTGATCAAAGATGGATGGTGGCTAGCAATGTCAAGGCAATCCTTACAGGATGCACATATGCCAATAAGAGACTAATCAATTGCAATACTAAACATCAATCGGAAGATTCAAGCAACCAATACAAAAATGAAATAATAACTTAGGTCAGCGAGCATCTTTAGGTGAAGTGACGGCAACAGTACTAATTCTTATTGTGATCTCAAGATGTATTTCATATTTGTATCTGTCAAGATGCAGACTTTAGAAAATTACATTCACAAACATAATGTTCTGTGACTGTATATACTACATTATAAGTAATCTTACCGTGATATGAATAATTTCTATTTAACCTTGAAAAATGTTAACTATTTTCATGACGAATATGTTAGGGTTACAAATAATGTACTTGATTGTTTCATGTCAATAAGATTTCAATATATGTAACTTTCGTTATGATGAGTCTGCTTTTTATGTTTAACATACATAAGTCACCTTTTGCTAGAATGTGATCTAACGAAGGTAACTTTTTCAGTTGCTCAACGGTGTATAAAGTTTTTTAAGTAGATTTCTTGAGAGATGTGTTTTGTCGAAATTTATTTATTTGTTTCATTGTAGGTTTAACTGATATATATATACATATATGCTTTTCAGAATATAAATTTACGTCCAGTATGCTAGCCATCTTTAATTCACGTATAAATACATGATTTGAGCGTTTAACCTACAAGTTCTCCTGACGTAGGGTTTTGGATAATGTTCGCTTTATTTGTCTGTAATTACGTTTTGAACTTGATTTTCAGTCGTTAAATCATAATTCCAGTCTTGGCAGTCTGATAACGTATGAAGTTATCAACAGTAAATATAATTCAACACGAGATACGCTATCTGAAAACGAGTGTTGAATCGATGTAGCGTTAGGACATATTTGCCAATAAATACGTATTTCATCCATTCAGTTCCTTGTCTAATTACCCACACAGAGTGTATGATTTCTTTTGCTCATACTACTACCTCGACCTGCCTTAATTATCACATTTCTTTTAAATCGTCTATCTCAATCCTTGACTACAAGTGTGTAATACATGTTTTAGTTTCAAACTTAATCCTCATCTATGAATGTTATCCAATTTGTGATTGTGAGTGCTTGAAGCACTTACTTCATAAAATGTTTAATTGTTATTACAAGAACTATAAAACATTGCTTGATTTATTCCAGTTACTAGTTTGCTTTTTTCACGTTATATTTATGTTCTCACTTTTCTTTTAACAATATAAAAAAATACAGTGGATCATGGATTTTCTAGGTTGCAACCTTCTCGGAATTTGGTTAGGCATGAAAACAATCAATTATTTAAGCATGAAACCGTATCATTGGCGAGGCATGTGGAATATCCCCAGTTACAGGTCATTTTTATTTATTCTCATTTTATTATTGAACTACATTAAACCTGATTTATCGTCCCTTTCTCTCGAAGTTCACAACACTGCTAAATTTAACAATTAAAATTTGTTCGTTCTTTTGTGGGGAAGAGGCGATTCAGCGTGATCATCGCCTCGCACCAAAAACTAACTGAAACTGAGAATACTAATATTCGGTCTCGGAGTACCATCAAGCTCTCGGGTTCGATCCCTGGCGAATTCGACTGTGAGAACTGTTGAAGAGTCCTAAAATAGGGTGAATTAGTAGTCAGTGCATCTTGGTTTTCGATGATTCGGCATCTGAAATCCGTGTCAAAAACTGTCTGAACAGTCAAGATTATTATTGTTAATGGCTTTATTCAATATTATATTTTTGGTACAATATAAAATTCTCAGCTACCTTTGAAAAATCGGATTTTCGAACTTCAACTCGTGAAGGTTTTTTTCGATGTTGCCATTAATTAGAATTGTTATTTTCGAATTTGACTATGTATTTGAAAGATTTATTTATGTGCACTGTCGTTTTCAGCAATTCTAACAACTACTTTGCATATCTTACTGTTAACTAGCTCTTCCCTATCAAAACATCAGCATGTAATTTAGTGCAACTCAAGGTATAATAGTTCAAATGTGGGTCATTTGTGTGTGTATTCAGTATAAATCCCTGGTCATATTAGATATTTTTTCGCGTTTTATCAGTTCCATTCAATTAATCAGTCGGTCAGTTATACGCAACGTAGAATCTCACACATATGCATCAGTTCAAGTTGCCATACCACATTAGCACAGCAAGATGAGAACATTTCAAGACAAGGCCAAGAAAGGTCAGAGCAGTAACAGTATCAGTAGTAGTAGAAAAGGTGAGGTACGAAAAAGGTAACAAAGATATAACGAGATTCAGATTTTAAATGAAAAGTAGTAAATGCACCCACGGTATTGTGAATGATTCTGATCCAAGTCACCCTCAGCTTTTCTGCAACCACCGTCAAGGTATGCGGTGTATAAACATACGTAACACATGTCCTGACCAACTCAGTTGGTAACCACTTACCATCTCATCAATCGATTTGGTATGTTTGCCTAGTGCCCTATGCTTAACCTCAGGACCGGTCACTCGGTCGCAAAATATACGATCGATGCTTCGATGACACTTTTGATCAAATAATAATAGCCTGCGAATATACTCTACTCTTTATGACCATGTTTCACATCCATAAATTAGAACAGAGCGAACTAATGCACAATAAACTCAGCCTTAGGTTAGGAAATGGATGTTCCGCCTAAACCAATAGCAAGGTGTACCTATAATAATCAGGAAACTGATGTTCCTGTTTATATCTACCTAGTTACATATACCGTTTTATAAGAAATAGTTTTCTTCTAGTTTGAAAATTTTCCTAATCACTGGACTCATCTGAGTTCGTTATTTCCTTTTCCTAAAATTCATAAAGTGAGTGCTTGAAAGTACTTTGACATCTCGCTAACTTGATGTGAAATTTCGCACTTATTTTTCTCTATAACTACTGTTTCTTTCACAAAGTAATTAGGATGAAATTAAAAAAATGTAATCTACTGATGATGTATCGAAAACCTACTGTTACCCAGATCAAACGATTAAGAAAACATTTTTAGATAACCTAAAGACGCTGCTTTGGAGATGTGTTTTATAGTCAGTTTTTGGAGAAGAAATATAGGATCAAAGCAGACAACATTTTGGCTTAGTTGCTAGGACTCTAGAGTGAGAGCAAAATATTCCCCGAAGATTCATTTACAGAGTAATTCTGAATTAGTTTAATTGACTAGCGCCGAAAATTATTGTTATGCGATTCGGTAACTTAATGACTATAAATCCATTCATCTCTCTACATTACCTTATACAGAGGCAAACTTCGTAGAGTTATGTTGCAGTTTACCCCTCGTCGATGGACTGATTTCGACTGGCGTCCGACTGGAAGTCTAAAGAGATGGTTAGGGACTTTGGTTCTTGCGATTGCAGTAAGCATTGTGGTTTTTTGAATGTTATACTATAATCATTGTTGTTTTGCGTCAAATTATCATCGCTTATCCGTCTAAAGCAATAAATTTACGACTAAAACACGATCTCTTTAGAGGTCATCTATTCTCCGCCTGTAGCTCTTCTAGAGTTACTGCCGGTCCCAAGCCCGGGTAAAGGAGGAGGGTTGGGCATGGGGTTTACGTCCCCAACCTGTAGAAAACTAACTCGCTAAAAAAACGCTTACCAGAAAAAATAATTCAAACCATTTTAACTTTTCCCTGGGAGTTAGAAGGTCTTCATTTAGAAGAATTATGACGCTTCATGGTGAAAGCCGAGTTGCTTCGGAAGCCACGAGGCCGATGCCCCTTCTAACAACTAGAGCAAAAATGTTTATAGGTACATGGAACGTCCGGACGATGTGGGAGACCGGGAAGACTAGCCAAATAGCAACGGAAATGAGGAGATACAATTTGGCAGTACTGAGAATCAGCGAAACCCACTGGACCGCTGGACAGAAAAGGCTAAATACGGGAGAGATGCTGCTATACTCCGGTCATAAAGAGGAAAATGCTCCGCACACTCAGGGAGTTGGACTGCAAAGAAGGACACCTCGTCAAGATTCCAAAGAAATGAGATCTGGGCAAATGTGAAAACTACAGAGGCATTACACTACTGTCAATACCAGGGAAAGTCTTCAACAGATTGTTGCTGAACCGGATGAAGGATGCAGTAGACGCCCAACTTCGAGATCAACAAGCTGGATTCCGTAAGGATCGGTCGTGCACAGACCAAATCGCAACACTACGGATCATCGTCGAACAATCATTTGAGTGGGACTCATCACTATAAATGAACTTCATTGACTATGAGAAGGCATTTGACAGTGTAGATAGGAAGACGTTATGGAAACTTCTTCGACACTACGGAGTTCCTGAGAAGATTGTCAATATTATCCGAAACTCATACGACGGACTACAGTGCAAGGTCGTGCATGGAGGACAGCTGACAGATGCATTCCAAGTAAGGACCGAAGTCAGACAAGACTATTTACTCTCTCCCTTCCTCTTTCTTCTGGTGGTCGACTGGATTATGAAGACCTCGACATCTGAGGGAAAACACGGAATACAATGGACAGCTCAGAACCAATTAGACGATCTGGACTTCGCAGATGACCTAGCCCTCCTATCACGTACACACGAACAGATGCAGATGAAAACAGCCAGTGTAGCAGCAGTCTCTGCATCAGTAGGCCTCAGTATACACAAAGAGAAAACCAAGGTCCTCACATTCAAAGCGGAGAACAGCAATCCAATCACCCTTGATGGCGAAACTCTGGAAGATGTAGAATCCTTCACATATCTGGGAAGCATCGTCGATAGACAAGGAGGTTCAGATGCAGACGTAAAGGCGAGGATTGGCAAAGCAAGGGCCGCATTCCTACAATTGAAGAACATATGGAACTCAAAACAACTTTCAACCAATATCAAAGTGAGAATCTTCAATACCAACGTCAAGGCAGTTCTACTGTATGGTGCTGAAACTTGGAGTACTACAACAACCACCATCAAGAAGGTACAAGTATTTATAAATAACTGTCTTCGCAAGATACACAACATCCATTGGCCGGATACCATCAGCAACAGCCTTTTGTGGGATAGAACAAATCAGCTTCCAGCTGAAGAGGAAATTAGGAAAAGACGATGAAAATGGATAGGACATACATTACGCAAATCGTCAAACTGCATCACGAGGCAAGCTCTAACTTGGAATCCTGAAGGGAAGCGGAAAAGAGGAAGGCCTAAGAACACATTACGTCGGGAAATAGAAGCAGATATGTAAAGGATGAATAATAATTGGTAGGATCTGGAAAGGATTGTCCAGGACAGGGTTGGATGGAGAATGCTGGTGAGCGGCCTACGCTCCTTCACGAGGAGTAACAGGCGTAAGTAAGTAAGTATTCTTGTCGATTATATCAACATTATGAAAAGACAATTTTAATATACAGTCGCTATATTTTTAACCAACTACTTTACTTTTTTACTAAAACAATATTACTTCTTATCCATGGAATAACTTGTCCTGAATATTGCTAAATTTCATCAGTTAGGACGAAATACATTAAATCATCGAAATGATGACTATCAGTTTAAATCTTGTCATGACCTCTGTCCAAACACAGAACCAGACTAACCCAAACAAAGGAGCCACAGTATGACAACTACCACAGAGAAGTAATGTAAAGTTCCCGGCAAACAGTTCATTCTAATCTTTTGAACTTAATTACGGTAGTCAGTAACAACGTAGAACTTCGTACGTACGTACATCAGTTCGAGTTGTCACATCACATTAGCACAGAGATGCAATTGTCGATTCAAATCCCGTAGTGGTAGAGGTAATAAGACTATAAGCCGTAATCGGGAAAATTAGTGTTTGGAGATGTTATTTAAAGAGTATAATAAAGTGAAATAAATTTGGGAAGAGAAAAAAAGAGACAAGGAGGAATAAAGAGATCAAAATTTGGGAAAACACAAAGAGTGTATGCACCTGCGCCATTGCAAACGATTTTGAGCCATGTCATTCAGGGTCTCTAACCATCGGTTGCTATCATCTCACGGTCCCCAACCAGGTAGTCTACACCTACCAACATGACTCAGTCCACTTGTCAGTGATTTCATGGACTTGTGCCATGTTTTGGTCTGGCCGCCCCTAGCTTTCTTCCAACCTACTCCTATACCACTGAACATCGCACGTCGAGGCAGTCGGTGGTTGGGCATACGTAACACGTGTCCCAGCCATCTCAACTGATGAAGTTTCACTACGTCATCAATTGATTTGCCATCCTTACCTAGTACCCGTTTCCTAACGACTGCATTACTTACTCGATGGTCCCATGATATATGAGCAATATTTCGAAGACACCTATGATCAAATACTAGTAGCCTACGAATATCCTCTACTCTTACCGGTCATGTTTCACGCCCATAAAGTAGGACGGAACGAACTGCTGCGCAGTAAACCCGTCCTTTGGTTGATAGACGGATATCTCGCCTACACCATAAATGACGCAAGTTGGTAAAAGCTAGTCGAGCCTTCTGTATCCGTGCTGAGATTTCGTCACGGTAGACCTATGCCTTATATTTTTTTTCCACAATATTTTAGATACTTACAGCAGAATTGAATACTTTCTACTTGAAATTCGTACTTTGGGTACCACCTCCTCACTTTTTGTGTCTTGGACGTCTAATCTTTCTGACCTTGATGGGAGCCACTGCTATTCGTGAATATTTTGAATACCTTGATGATCCGTAAGTGAATTCAGTAAGAGTAAAATAATAGAGTTTTTGTGTTATTATTTTTGAAAAGATCAACACATGTTTACAGACTTTCGGAATATGAACTTTTTCATAATCAAGCGATAAGGACTAGGTAAGATTAATAAGGACGTATAAGGAGCGATGTCGAGTTATAATTGTATCGAATTTTAGGAGCATCTCAACCAATTAACTTGGCTCCTTAAAGAAAGTACATGAAGATTCGTTAGACTCCATGTAACCATTATTTGATGAGGTTGTACAACCACAGAACGTTTCCCATAAAAAAATCGCTTATCTGTAGTACTTGAATATAAAATTCTAGGTAGTAATTAATGTCAGTTTGGTTGTTTATCATCACTGTTGGAGAGTTCCATACTAGGATGGTAAAATAATAATTTAGTGCCTCTTAGTTTTAGTGATATCTGCGGTTAATTTTTCACGAATAACAACTAAAAATGAGACCGGTCTTGAAAAAACTATGACCGTGTCTTCACTAGTGAATCTATTTGAAATCTACAACTTGAGTTCCGCTGGAAAATTGTGACCAATGGAAGATATACATGCTGGAAATAAAACAGTTATCACTAGCAATAACACTAGGTGTTCATTGTGTATCGTGAATGTAATATCACCGGGCTCGCAGTCAACTCAATTGTCTGTGCCTCCTGCTAACTCAACGGTACCCAACTATGATTTATATTACTCACAAATCAAGCAAGTCTCCACAAACTAATTCAATTAAACTTCACACTGTTGCAGGAAGAGAAAAGCTCTTAAATCTCCTGATGATCAAATAAAACAAGTGGGATTTACAAAAGCTTGCGAATAGACGTTTTCTTCATTAACCTTTTACATTCGTATAACTTTCAAACAGACAATCAATCTACTATTTAGTAAAAACAAATGGAGAACATCTACCTTATTATCATTGTACTTTTTTAAATTAAGTGCCAATGTGCATGTATATGAAAACTGTTTGTGCTCTATAAATTACTGATTCTCAGTACTTTTCCCCGTTCCTAGTAAATGCAAACGATTTGGAAGACAAGCATGGATGATTTCAAGCATTATTATAACTGAATTCTTGATAGTAATGAAGTTTGGTTGGGACATCATTACTAAACCATTTCCCAGGCACATATCCATCTTCTGGTCGTTGGTTTTAATCGGTTTAGTATCATGGACTTTCTGGCACTTTTATATTGTACCTTGGTTGTTTCGATCGAGTCGCGTATCGAAAACTGGGAAACCAGTAGAAGAAACTATTCAAAATCATCGCGCACAGAAGGTTGAAAACCCTGTTGTTTATAGACGTAATGCTAGGTCATCAGTAAAGTTGTTAAATCATTCATAGTTTCTTTTCCCCATCTATGAAGATGATTTTATCACATTTTTTAAATAGGGAATTAAAAAAAATTTGTGACAAACTTGTGTTTTTATTTAACTTTATGGCCGTTAATATCATTCACGGGTTCGTAACGTCCAGAACCATAAACTGCGTTAAGTTCATAAAAAAGAAATAATACCTGACATCATACTGTTAGATTTTGACACTCTAAAAGTAAACATACATACTTTTGAAACTGACAATACACAATGAAATTTGGTATCCTGCTTTGAATAGTATGAAATCCATTTCTTATAACAGCCACTGCTATATGCCACTAAAATATTTTAGGTCAAACAAGCTAGGAACTCATCCCTTCACACAGCTAAATTAGGTTACATTCGTGCTTTTGGTTCTCGTTTTAAAAATTTCTGAGTAGACAGTGGGAACTGTGTTGTATCAAAGTCTGGGTCATTCGTCAAACGTACCGCTAGTCGGTCCGAGACAACTTCTCTCAAAGAGTTTACGAGTTCAATGTCTGCGGCAGGTAGTCTTCTGAGTCTCGACCTATATTTATCTTCTACATCACTATTCGAATATTCGTTCGTCTTCTCTTTATTAACATGATCATTTGCAACAGCATCCGATAAGCATTCTATGAATAATTGATCAGGTGATTGAAACAAAGATGCTGAGTGTTCTTGCATAACCTATTTAAATAGTATAAAAAATAACGAACATGTAGTGATTAGACACTGGGATGTATAATGCGAACAAAGTCATCGTGAAACAAATTTTGGCATAAATTAACTTCTCTAACAGCCATCAAGAAAGAAACTAGACATATCTCAGAATAATAAATAGAATAAGGATCTCCAAAATGTCGTGCCAACCAGAACGTAGAAGTAGGCATCATGCAAAAATAGAGAAGAGAATACATCTCAATGGAATTCTTTTTCGTTCCAGGAAATGGAAGTTAGAAAGCGACCTGATCAGATTACTTATTTATTTTATACAACAGTCGTAACTTCTATTTCTGAAACTATGGAGGAATTGTTTATTGACTCTGCCATGTAACTGAGACTTTCCAGTTTGAGTGATTCGTACTTTGGTGGACTCGAGTAGAGATTTCATGGCATCTTTCGAGCCTACACAAAACGTTTACAAATTTAACTTCCTTCTATTATCCCTCGCGGTGGAGCATAGGCTGCCGACCAGGATTCTCTATTGAACTCGGTCCTGAATTATCCTTTCTAGTTGCTATTTATTCTTTTGATGTCTGCTTCTAGTTTACGACCTAGTGTCTCTTGATTTTTATGTTTCCTTCAGGTTTCCAAGTTAAGGTTGCAAATGATATATGTTTTTAGTAAAAATGTTTAACCCTACATCGTAATGAAAATATAAGGCTTCACTAGTTCGCATTTCAAAATATTTGGCCTTTTTTAACCGATGTACTTACAAAAGATTAAAAGCTGCTTATCGCCGTTAGATGTAAGCGATTTCTTGAGGACGGAAGTTTGTATATATCGTTGCCGTATAATTTATGGGATGCAGTGTTATATATATATAAGGGAAAAATAAACAAAGTTTATTACCTTTCGTCTTTTCGCAGGCATGCCTGCTATATATCCATCACTGAATCGTCCGAATTGATTAGGATCATCAGTAGTTGGAAGGTTATGTGACATAGCAGATATATCGCTGGTGACTACATGAATCCAGGCAGGAGGTAAAACAGCGTGCCAACCTTCTGTTTCATTTGGAACTGATAGGTCATTACTTATAGGCAGAGTAGCATTCGGATTAGGGTCAAGTCCATTTATTCTACAGTCAGGCAATTCTCCTGGTTTCGGAGTCCAATCAGGTAAGGAGGATATTTTCGCTTGTAATTTAAGCTGACCAGTAGGCACATCACTATTACTTTTTGAAACAGCTGACATAGGACGGTTCATTTCATCCGAAGGCAAATCAGAATATGCGTCTACAAACGGTAAATCATCACCATGCAAATCTTCATCAAATACATTTCGCTGGATTTCACCATTTGACTAAAAGAAAATAATGAACACTCCTGTAAGGGAAAATCGATTTGTATGTAATATAAATAATTCACGTTTCATCATATTTACACATTCAATCCACTTGTAAATACAGCTTATAAATTTACCAGACCACCGCTTTACTATGTTCGCATGATCATCTAATATTATGTGTAAAATGAAAAAAATGAGACTAACCGGATCAACCATCATAGGTGAAGGGATTTTGGATTTCCTGAACTCTATATATGAGGACTTTTGGTGTGTCACCTTGGCACGTAATGTGGTTTCATCCATATCACAGTACGATTTAATACAATTCTCAAAACCTGTTATAAAGTCTTGAGCAAAGTCAAAGTTTTCATCATCTATAGAAATAATAAATTGAGAAAAGAATGAACAACAATTTAATGAAATCAGAATAGGGATTTGTGGAGATTATAGTAATTTTAATAGCTGAATTCATGAGTCAATACAAGTATTTAATAAAATATCATACTGGAAATGACGTATGTCCTCTTTACATCACTAAAGATTTTTGGGAAAATACCAACCTTTTGCAGGTGTCCGATAGGTCATGATAAAATACTTTGTTTGTCGTTTACCTCTACCAAAAAATGTCCTTCAAAATAGCGTTTCTGCAAAAACTTATAATTTGGCTCAGGCAAGTCAATTATTTGTAGATTTTAACCAACCGTTGCCACTACCATGACCTGACTCCAGTTATGTCGAATATTAAAGGAATGAGTGAATACACGGCGAAAATATCCGACCTAAATTGTGCTATACTTCGAGCAACCCGATCAAGTCCTTAAACTTCTGGGTACAAAGAAGTCAAAGATCCTGGGTTTCAGTCGACGATAGTACATGAGAAAAAACGTGGGCATTTATAAATCTTGGGATGTCCTTGAGAATCAACTATTCAGAGCATGGCTTTGTAGAGTGTGATTTAACTGTCGGTGCAGTTTTAAAAAAGTGCAAAATAGCCACCAATTCGAAAAACATTTTTCAGCTCATACGGATCAAATTTCCAAAGGAGTACGATATATTTCAGTGGTGGCGATGTACAGTTGTTTAACAACACTTAGTGACACCTAGAATAACTTATAAACAGTTGAAAGGATTGGTGAATAATTAGCTAAGTTATCAGTTAGTGTAAAACAGCCTAAACACTTACCCTCATTCGCTTGCAAAAATGAATTTAAATGATCCAACAACATATCAAAGCCTGTAGTGATGCCAAACATTTGGTTTCGAATTCCTTGAGGACTTTCAGAACTTGATTCAGTGTGTAGTTCAATGCCCAAAGAAGAAGCAAGATGATTTGTAAGGATGTCTGTTAAACACAGAAGATCTGTACAAGCAATCTTCAGAGTCATCAGTAGGGTATTACCGAATCCGGTATTCGTTGGACTGGCTCTCCACAAATCCAATTGCGAAGAAACAATATACTTAAGGAATTAAAATGTAAATGAAAATTTACAAACTGTAGTATTTAATTAAAGGATAGGAAATAATTGATAGATACATCAGTTATAAAATGACTTTAGAAGTGTAAACTATTAAATCTGTAGGTAATTACACTAAGGTTCCAAAAAACGCTACAGACGTTTAGACCATTGTGACAACTAACTAATTAAATCAACCAATATAACAATTTCTACAATATTAAAATCCAAAGTAAGACCATGTTAATATTGCTAAAGTTAGTTGCCAACACTGATAATGTCAAATGAATTCTCACTTCCTTATAATTATGGATGAAACACTTCATTGTGACAATTAGCAAGTAATTCAGTTGCATGCATCTGAAAAAAAAAACAGTATCTGTGCTTGCCCTAAAAGTCATTAAAGTGTTAACACATTGATCTGGACTAAGCAAACGAGATCTAGTCAGTCATAAACAACAAACATCTGAGTCGGTTCACGTCGCCACATTGAAAACCAAGTGGGAATATAAGTAAGAATTCATTCGAATTAAAAAATAAGAACTTATAAGTAGCTTTTATAACCAGCTTGGATTTTACTCTTAAACAGGAAAAAAACGAATATGTAAAAAAACAATATCAAAATTTATGAATACCTTACCCTACATAATTTGGCAAAGGATGCTGTTGTATCAACCAAGTGTTCAGGGAGATTTTCACCAAAATTTCTTAACCATGTTGCGTATTCACTATGAGAAGCATCTGACAATCGATCTCTAAAAATAACACTAACTAAACAATTAACAAGTTCTGTATGATTGTTCCCCAAAACTGACTCAGCCCAGAAAAGGTGATGTTGCAGATGTTCGCGTAAACCATCCAAAGAGGATGAAGTGATGTGGCCGCAGCTTTGAGTATCAGGATGCTCATTGACTTCATTATGAATAGCGGTAATAATATCACTTAATAACCCAACGGATACACTTCGACCACGTGATGCGCTATTCACGGAATAATTTTGATCATTTACATCTGAAGAATAAATGAAATAACAGTGAGAATATTGAGAAAAACTACTTAACGAAAAAAGTATTTGGGGTTTTGTCAAAAACCGCTTTACAGTAAGTACCCAAACGTACGAACCCTATGTCAAATCGGTCAGCAGGCTTCCTTGGCTAAAACCCTAGAGTCTCTTACCATTGACGTGTGCTGTGTCTCCGAAACACGCATACAGGATTCCAGTGTGGTCATTCACTTGACCTCACCTCGACAAAACGGAGAGCCAACGAGGTACACCCTTCGTGTATCTGGTGACCCGATGGCAAGTTCTCGTGGACTGGCAGGTGTAGGCATAGCACTAAGCATGAGGGCCGAACAAGCACTGCTAGAGTGGATCCCCGTCAACAGTCGTCTATGTGCTGTTCGGCTGAACGGCTACGTAAGAACTCGGAAGGATAATAATAATAATCTATAAATACCCGTGTTTTTTGTACAAAAATGAACCTTCAGAGTAAAGTGCTTTTCACTTAATTTGCGCCTTTTCTCTCTCGTGTTCAGGTCGCTGTGTAGTTCTAGCTTGCGGGTTACCAGAATAGCTTAGGAACCGAATAAAGCGTTCAAATTAGCAAGACTTATCAATGATAAACTCACATTCGCAGGCAGCCATTAAATTCGATGATGACTGGGAAATCCTGGACCATACTGTCTTAATCAATCCATCTATGAGTACACTGAAGATTTGAAATACCCCTTTAAGCTGTGATTGATCGATTTCATTAGATACCCAAGATGGCTTAGTTTGAGGAAAAACTCCTAAATGATACGACAGAGATTGAGAGAATACAATTAAAAAAGTATACAATTTAATGAAATAAATTCCTGAAGATCATAAATGCAAAAATAAAGACAATCGGCTTAGAAAGTAACAACGGTGCGAAATGACAAGCTGGTATCATTAATGTATTAATACTTAGTAAACTCAAATTTAGAGTATATTGATTTCTTCGCTTTTTGAAGTATGATTAACATCCTAATACCGCGGCTAACCAACTTACCTATCTCAAATAAACCATTGAAATTGGGATCCACTATCTACCATGTGATAAGAGAGAAAAGACAACATCTTATGACTGTAACAAGAACAATTACTTAGTTGGTCACAGACAATACAAAACCAAAGACAAGTGTGAGGGTAAATTAACATGATATGAAGCGGAGGTACAATAATATTAACTATAATAGGAAGCTAAAATGATAAATGTAGCTCAACAAAAACAAATAAGATTGAATATCGAAAAATGTGAAGTAATACTAAACTGAAAATTCAAAGTAAATAAATGAATTATAACGGGTTTTAAAGAAATCTTATACCACTACATGAAGGGTTTCAGTGTGCATCGAAGAAAATATCATGAAACTTGTGAAAGTTATCTATAACATCGGAAATCAACAGAATCAAACTAAATTCGGATATTCACCTTACAATCAGTTGATAACAATCATTTAATTAACTGTGTTGTTCTATGTTATTATTGATGATCGTAAGGTGTAAAAATCTTCACATTAGTAATTATAATACTTGGTGAAATGATTTTTTAATGAACTTTGATTCATTGATTTATTTATTTCTAAACTCAAAAAATCTATGATAAAAAATTTTCTGTCCAAAATGTTGAACAATCCGGATTTATTGGAATGCATCCAAAAAATATCCATTCAACACATACTCATGAAACTGAACTACCACAGTTTACAGATTAATCTTACTTGGAGTATTATGCGTCGTTGATCCACTAGTTGTAGTTGCTGTTGAAGTTGCACTTCCTGCTAAATTTGTCACAGGATGGGATGGATTTATTGAGAATTGCATGGGTGACGATGAAACATGCAGATTGAATGGTGAGGGACCGGAAGTGAAATTATCGGTACTCACAGCAGAAATAGCGGCATTGGTGGCGGCGGATACAAGAGATAAAAGGTGTTGTGGCAGACTGATTCCTGAACCAAAGGAAAATGATCCAGGAGGTCTAGTACCTGCAGATCCAGTGTTTACTGTAGGTGGATTACCAGGAGCATTCGGCTATAAAATTACAAAAGCGGATATTACGCCAGTGAAGACGTGGAAAAAAGGATCATACAAAATTGAAACAAAGCGTTTAGTTAGTTTGTACCAGGATTAGCTAAGTTTAACTATAAGAAACCGTGATCGATAAACATAATTGACATATTACAATTATATTATTTGATTTGATAATTTCGAATAAATTGAGCATTTGGTAAATTGTTATAAATAAATAGTATATTTGTAGTATCCCAATGAGTAGAAAAATTAGATTTTCTGACGTTTCGTGGCTTAGTGTAGGTCACTTCTTCAGAGAATAAATAACCAAATTAAAATTAATCCAAGTTTAAATGGTACAACGGAACAATGGGAATAATATTATTTATTTATAGCAATCTACCCGATGCTCAAGTTATCCGAAATTGTCAAGTCAAACCATGCTAATGATGCCTACAAACTAATAAGTAACAATTTTGTGTTGTTAAAATAGCATATATATATATATATATATAGCATGTACGAAACATTCGTTCTGATACGCTGAAATGCTGCTTTCTTTAATTTTTTGGTGCCATACTCAATAGAGACATAATTCAAACGTGTTTCTTGGTTTGAAGGAAAGGTATTTAAAACCCGGTAAGAAAACTTACGATAACTGTCTACTGATTTTCAGTCATTCGCTTTTGAAAAAATAATTGCTTTTGCCAAATAAAACGTAAATTATACATAAATACCAATAATAATCGGCTTACTGGTGCACATTCTGCAAACGAAAAAGAAACTTGCGACGGTAAACCTGATCTTGTTTGGTTGTTTAAACTGGCAGGATCTACACTTGCCTGTGAACGACCTAGACGACTAATATTAGCACCATGTGGGGTGATGACATCATTAATTGGAGTAAGTGGTGGTGGTTCTGGCAAATTGTATGACGTAGAAACTCTATGACTAACTTCACGTGAAAAGTGACGAGAATTGCATGCCAAAAAAGGGTCAACTGAGTCGATTACCGTGAGTGGAGGGAGTGATGGGCGAGGAACCATAGTTACGTTGGTATGAGTAGTTGGTAGTGAATCACTGGAAGTAGTTATAGTGCGCGTAGTAGATGGTATTGACACAACACTAGTAGGAGCACTTGTTGCAGTCACTGGAGATGAAAGTGATGCTAAAAATGGAGCAGCTGGGAGACTAAATGTGTTTACAGATATTATTGGAATGTCAAAACGATGGATAATAGCAGTGCGTCCGTTTCCCAAAGAGGTTGTCGTTGTAGTCATCGCAGGGTTAGGTGTACCGAATGAACTTGTTACAGCAGGAGCTACAAAAAACGAAATGAATTTCATTATTAAATGATGGTATAAATCTGTAATAAAAAGCGTAACGAAATAAAATTTAAGAATCAGAAGGAAACTAATTAATAATAGTGAAACTGAGAATTACTTAAAAAGACTTACCATTTTCCGTTTGAAGGTTACTAGCGCGGTTTCCATTAGACGCCGATCGACTTCGGATACTAAAACGGAAAAGTATAGATTGATAAAAATAAGACGTAATTTTAATGAACCAGAATACAACTTCGAAAGATGATTGTTATAACTATATCGATAACAAAATCGATGGTTTGATACCATTAATTAATTCGATCTGTGCTCATTTCAAGAAAGAATAAATGCGCATAGATAGCGTTAAACTAGCAGTTTTATATTTGATATTATATTAATTGACAATGAACATAAAACTCTCGAAACACATTTAGTTCACGGGGTAATCAATCTTTTAGACCAAATACATAACATACTCTGATTTCTGAATATACAAATGATAGTACCATGAAAGTAATTATCAAACGAAATCATAAAACTATTGTAATAATTACCGTGAAGTTGTGGAGCCAACATTGGAAACAGGATGTTCGGATCTAATAATTCGTGGTTCCTGTCCATCTCCAGTTGCCACGATCGTAAGATCAGGTGGTTCAACGCTAATCCGTGCACGTATCCGACGTCTCTCAGTATCCGAAACACTTAAAACCCGTTGAGTACATCGTTTGACTTGAGGAACTGGCTTTGGTTCTTTCACAGGATCACTTGTGAGGTCAATTAAAGTATTTGCGTCAGGATCCTGTCTTTGAGATTCATCACTTGTTGATGTTTTAGATTCCGAGTTACTAGTCTGAGAAACAGAAACGGTACTATTGACCTGTTGTGTCTCCCGTTCTGTCATAGTAATTACATTGAAATCAGATATCAAATGAAGCATATGGGCGTTTAAGTGTAGTAAACGGCTCACTTGAGAAAACAGCTATAGAAGAAATGAAACATAGATCAGATTGTATGCAGTCCAAAGTATAGTTAAGAAAAATGAACAATTAAATAATCCTAGCCTGCTTGAAAAATTAGTACAAATCAAAAAAGTCTATAAATACAATTGCCCCAAAATGGCCTGGTATGGTCGAGAGTGGGGTGGGCCCGTCCTCCCTACAGAAATACTCTCACACGGCCACGTGTATATAGCCTCTGCCAGGGAAGTCTTGCTCACTGCCTTCTCGTGGCGGGGGTGCTGTTCACGAAAATGAGAGGACGAAAAGCGAATGTCCGGCGCTTTAACCAGATTCCAAACCAATGGTGCACAAAGGCTCCAGTATCCTGCGGGAACGAATGGCATATGAACCAATTGTTGGTCACCGGCTAGCATCTGACTGCATGTCCTTACGTTGCTCCACTGCCTTGTGGGTCAGACCTTTAGGTCAAAGGCTCGGGGGGTGGCCCCGTAAGAAAACCACCTGCTTCGGTCTGGGTAGTCGGGCAGTATCACAGCCCACACACGAATATGATGAAATATTGATATCTATGGAAAATACTTGTCTTGCATCGATTAACATTATTATTATTCCTATTATTGTTATTAATATTATTTTTTACGTCATTTATTCACTCTTTTATTTCCACTCTGTGTATCCTTATTTTTCAACTTATACAGCAGCTCGCCTATGGTGGAAACTCCGTTGTATCTAAACGTTCTCGGGTCACTGCCTGGTTGAAAACTGTATGCTAACACCAAATACGAATACTGAAGCAGTTTTTCTGAAACCACGTGCAACATTCAAACTGGCTACCTTCAACGTTCGCACACTTATGCAGGTCGGACAACAGATAGGGCTGGCTATGTCTTCGGAAAGTCTTAATATCGACGTTTGTTATCTATCCGAGACCCGTATTTAAGACTCTGGTGAAGTACTACAAATTCGCTCTCCATCCGTCGCTGAAACAGCACTAATCAATTGGATACCCATTAACAGTCGGTTATGTGCTATTAGATTAGAAAATTCCATCAAAGTACGGAGAAATCAGCGTCAGAAACGATGTCATTTCGTCATTTGCACCTATGCCTCGACAGATTGCAGCCCGGATGCAATCAAGGATGAATTCTACCACCATTTACCCGTTCTTCTCCAGAAAGTCAGTAACAACGTAGAACTTCGTACGTACGTACATCAGTTCGAGTTGCCACACCACATTAGCACAGAGATGCAATTGTCGATTCAAATCCCGTAGTGGTAGAGGTAATAAGAGTATAAGCAGTAATCGCGAAGATTAGGGTTTGGAGATGTTATTTAAAGAGTATAATCCAGTGAAATAAATTTGGAAAGAGGAAAAAAGGGACATGAAGAATTTAGAAAGTGCGTTCGACAGATATTGTAGTACTAGCGGGAGACTTGAATGCTCAGGTCGGGCGTCTAGGCACAAAAGAGAATCGTTTAGAAGGCCGATGGGGACTTGTTGGTCTCAGGACAGATAACGCTGACCGTCTGCCGCAACTGTGTGCAGACCACAACCTGTTTCTGGATAGCACCAACTTTCGGCACAGTCATCGCCGATGTGCCACATGGCGTCCTCTCTGTGTATCTCAAGACTGGACTCAGATTGATCAAATCGCGATCAGCTACCACTGGCGTGATTGTGTACAAGACTGCCGTTTCTTTTGGAGTACCTATCTCGACTCTGATCATGCCCTGGTCTGCGCCGATCTTACCTTACTTTTCAGTGGCCAACGAAGTGACCGCCACCAAAGGATTGATGTCAGCAAGTTCGTTGCAACTAAGTATCGAAACGAGCTAGCTTCTAGGCTAGCTACCATTCCACCGAAAAATATAGATGAGCACTGGTTGCAACTGCACGACCCCATCAAAATGGCGACTAAAGTCGCTTGCGGCTTCGTGAAACGTCCCGCTCATATGAACTGGGTTTCTTCTGGTTCCTTACAACTCATCAAAGCCCGTCGGTCTACCCCGGGTGACCGTGAGTTTGACCACAAACGAAGGATGTTACGTAATGAAATCGGGCAATGCTTGCGTAAGGACCGAGAGGCTTGGTGGTCGGAGCGTGCTAGTGAGCTGGAAGCAGCAGCGTCGGTGGTAGCAGTTTTGCTCTATGCTTGTGAAACCTGGCCTCACCGAGTTGACGATGTTAGACGACTGTGTTCGATCATCGTTGTCTCCGAAGGATTGCTGACATCTAGTGGCAATACCGTGTCAGCAATGCAGAGGTTCGGCATCGTGTGTTCGGGTGCAGAGACGATAATCCAATTGGTGTCACCATCTTGAAACACCGACTTCGATGACTTGGACATGTTCTATGAATGTCGTCCCACAGAATTCCTCGTCGTGCATTATTTGCCGACTCTGTGACTGGTTGGAGAAAGCGGAGAGGTGGTCAGTGTGTGACACGGTGTCGTGGTATGAGAGAAAGCTGCAAAGGACTGACTTGTGTTGGTCCTTCACGACTCGCTGGCTGGGGTCCTAGAGATGGTGCGACAGTGGCTAGAGACGTTGTCAGATATGGCTCAGAATAGAAGCCAGTGGCGATCCTGCTGTAACCTTCTTTTACTTTCTTCATAAGAAAGTAGTTGTATTTTCCTTAACTGAAAGAATTCCTCTGATTGTACCTTTCCATTTCCCCCATTATTATTATTACACTATCTTACACTAATCTGGTCGTTATTGTTCTTTTTTTCTTTTACGCTCCCATTCTCATTGTTTTGTGTGGCGCATATATATTTGGTGCCCCCTTGTAGCAATATTTATGTGTTCGGATAAATAAGTAAAATAAATAAGAAATACAATCATAAAGTTGTTTTCTTGTCGGCAAATATAGTAGACGCTAAAAGTCTAAATACAATCACATTATTACAATGTAGTGAACGAGAACACAAGCAGAAACAAATAAATGTAATCGAACACAAAATTACAGAATGTCTTGGTGAAATCTGGGAACCATATATTAAAATTGTTTATTTGCAAAATATCAATCAATTGTTTTAGATCTCATTGCTCTTTCGTTTCCAGACCAATCATTCTCTGTTCTCGTTTTCTTTTCTTCGATTTACTTAAACTTCTGTCGCTAGGTATTTCAGTTTCGATTGATGATGCATACTACTTATATCAGTAGCCAAAATAAAGAACCGACTCGATTTACGCTTCGTGTATCTGGAAGCCCTGATTCTGCTTCCCGTGGCCTCGCCGGCGTAGGTATAGCATTGAATCCTAGGGCAGAACTAGCTCTCTTAGAGTGGATCCCAGTAGAAAGTCGTTTGTGCGCTGTCCGACTACACGGAACAGTAAGGATCCGGAAAGATAGGGACACTCGTCGTTGCCTCTTCGTCGTCTCTGCCTATTCTCCCACTGACTGCAGCTCAGATAATGTAAAAGATGAGTTTTACAGAAAGCTTTCGGACCTTCTCCGAAAAGCTAAGCGCTCGGATGTAGTAATAGTGGCCGGTGACTTTAATGCTCAAGTAGGTAAACTAAGCGATAGGGAAGGATGGCAAATCAATTGATGAAGTAGTGAAACTTCATCAGTTGAGATGGCTGGGACACGTGTCACGTATCCCCAACCACCGACTGCCTCGACGTGCGATGTTCAGTGGTATAGGAGTAGGTTGGAAGAAAGCTAGGGGCGGCCAAACCAAAACATGGCACAAGTCCATGAAGTCACTGACAAGTGAACTGAGTCATGTTGGTAGGTGTAGACTACCTGGTTGGGGACCGTGAGATGATAGCAACCGATGGTTAGAGACCCTGAATGACATGGCTCAAAATCGTTTGCAATGGCGCAGGTGCATCCACTCTCTGTGTTCTCCGAAATTTTAATCTTCTGAATTTTTCATGTCCCTCTTTTCCTTTTTCCAAATTTATTTCACTGGATTATACTCCTTGAATAACATCTCCAAACCCTAATCTTCCCGATTACTGCTTATACTCTTATTACCTCTACCACTACGGGATTTGAATCGACAATTGCATCTCTGTGCTAATGTGGTGTGACAACTCGAACTGATGTACGTACGTACGAAGTTCTAGGTTGTTACTGACTGACTGACTGAGCACACACGACAGTCCTATATTCACTCACAGCACGAAAAAGTTAGTATTGGAATACAACCGTTATCAAAAGCAATTCAGTCAACAGCAATTAATAAATGAAATACTTCACTTTTTACGAACCCAATGAAAGAACCACGCATCACATCCTACATATTTATTTTAGGAAACAGAAACCCTGTTAAAGTGGTAGTAGAATATAACTCCTAGAAATCCAAAAGGACTACGCAGACAAATTTTAGTACAACAAAACCTTAGTCACTCAACTTACACGTGGATGCCAGTTTGACACTTGAGATGTTCTCTTCTTAGTTTCAATATCTTGTGATGTGTGACCAACTTCTAATGTGGAAGAGTCTTCAATAGTGGAGCAGACTTCAGATGTTGTCCCAACGATCTTACTTTCATTATGCAACATTTCTTCCCACTGGTCTAACTGGGGTTCTATTGAGTGCCACAGTTGACGATATCTGCTAAGCATATCTGCTAACAAAGCCAAAGAAGGTTCTGGTGTGGAATTTATTGAATTATCTACAGTTTCTGTGTTATTTTCTTCCTCAGCTTTTGGTTGCTCATCATTATTAAGATTTTCGATTTCATCTGGGGAAATTTTATCATATTCATCCGTATCCACTAACATGGGTGATGATTCTCGTTTGGACGCTAAATAAGAAGAGCGATTCACTAAAGTACTCACACATAATGGGTATTATTACACAAAATAACATCCGAATCGGAAAACAATAATCAAAACCGGCATAATTGCACTAATATATATATATATATATATATATATATATATATATATATATAGATTTATTTGGAATTCCTTGATCAGATATAAAGACAACTGTTTAAAATGTCTTATTTGAAAAAACTAAGAGAAAATTAGGCAAATGCAGACGTTTTTTCTGGGAAAGTGAAATTCCTAAATACAGCATATGAAGATCAATCTTAAAATTCGAATAATTGGTTTAAGGTGATTTTCACATGGCAAACTTTTAGCACACAGTGAATTTTGTCCATTCGCTTTTCATGTGTTTCCATTTATATCGATTGTGCAGTATTCAGTAAGTTAATTGATTTCCAATGCATTATTCCTTGTGTTGATTAATTCACTGGGATTGTTTTATGACAACTGCTCAGTTTGATGAACTCCTGTAATTAATGATGATAGAATAATCAATGCATAAATGAATACACTTGGATGTAAATTGATTATGGGGTTTTTATTATTGAAGCTTCTGAACAAACCTGGACTTTTCACTCTAGTTAGTGGATAGGGAAGAAAATGAAAATAGTTTCGTTGATCGTATTGAAGTTGAGAACAATCGGCTTAGCGCACAGGTGTGTCAGTTTTATAATATTCTTGTAGCGAATGGTTTAGAGGCCGTGTGAAGAAAATTTTCTTCCCGATACTCTCACAAATCTGCGAAATAAACTCAAGTAAAAATCATTTCAGGAAACAAGTACGTTTGTACACCACCTATTATGATAGTCGATGGTAATACTTCGACAGTCGAACTACGATAACAGTGACTATAACTTACTGGTGAAATGTCGATCACATTGGGTGAGTGGGAAATTTTTATTGTAGTTAATACACCGAAGGATGAAACCCATCACATTATTAAAAAACCGAAATATGAGTATTGCTCAAGCTATGGATTCATGATACAGTGATGGATGAAAATCTCAGCCGTATAGTCGCTGAAAACAATGAGACAAGTGTTGGTGGAGAATCTAGGAATTACTGGTATTTTGGGTTTATTCAAACCATGCCGACTAAAATCTCCACAGAATTCTTCGGTTCCCTAATATTTAACCGACTTTGTGTAAAAATATTTTGCAGGTCATCCGTAAGATCATTGGAAGACATGTCAGTTATTTCGCTAAATGAGGGGTTATTAATCAACCACACAGAATCATTTTATTTATGGTTCCGAAGATTGGAAGCGTGCATTAATATCTAAAACACTTCAATACAAAAAACACATACAATGGATTGGAAACTAAAATTTTAAACTCATGAGATAAGACAGACCACTTCGAGAAAAATAACTTCAATGAACATTTATCACTGACAAATCATAACCACTCACTATAATATTTAATTTCCAATATCTGCTGGATTTACTGACTTCTATGCATACAAAGATATTCTGGTCAGTTTACACATAATAAAGGTATGAAGCCTGTTGTACTGCCTTATATTAAAGTAATTATTCTCTGCAGGTGACTAAGTGCTATGTTTGGCTATTGTAGACACATGAAATTTGGACTACAATATAATGAACAATTAAAAAATGATACTTTTTAGTAGCACTTAAAAATATACTTGGATATTACAGAATGTGCCAGATACTTAATATAAGACGATTATGTAACAGAGAAACTACCAACTCTACAGCCTTTTTCAGTATATATATACAGGCCATTAAGTTGGACAAGAGTAATTTTGCTTTATAACCCCATAAAGTACTTAAAATTACTTTTTTGTCAGTCGTTGTAAATACCATGATATCTAAAAAAACATATCGCAGGTTATTTATGGTGAACTTTATTTCATAGTAATGAGTAGTGAGGACTTTAAATAAACGAACAGTAACATTTAATTTGGCGTCCTAAGGATTCTAATATATTATCCCCTCCTTTATCTAAACGTAGAACAAGATATATCAGCAACCACACACACGATTTCAAGAATTCTTAACCCGAACATCCGGAATTAGTAAGACTGATCTCGGACTTACTTTCATTTACATTATCACAAGTGTTAATAATATCAAGCTTCTGAATGTCACGTTGGTTTGTGGAATGAGATGTGGAAGGAGACGGATCAGTTTCTGATGCTTTTACCTTGTTATCATGAGAGTCTTTGTCAGACATTTGGGATATTTTCTGAGTAAGGCGAGTGGCTTGGCGATGCAATTTGTTGAAAGCATTTTCTCGTAATGTTATTAAAGAATGATCATGAAGGGAATCGCCAGAAAGATCACCATCACGAGAGAGGGAGAGGCTAAAAAAGCGAATTAAGTGAACTGAAATGATGAACAAATCTTTGATATCAAATCATAATATATTGTACAAACACAAAAAACTACACATATGACTAAGAAAAGCTGGTATCATACTAGGATTAGAAACTAAGAGGTCAAGTGAAAATTCAAGACAGTGCAAATTTATGATCACAAGTATAAGTTTCGACAGGTAGTGTATTATAAAAGAAATCCAGACCAAACAACGAGTGAACCAAACTCTTCACTTATAAAATATGAGAGCGGGAAACCGGTAACTGATCTCACTTAGTCCAAGAGATCCCGACTATTGTGAATAAGTTTGTATGCATAAGCGATTAATTGGATGACATATACATAGCTTTATAGAATCCTTGTGAATAACAAAGGCTTATAAAATGTTTTTCAATTCTAACAAGAAATATTAGTTAAGTTCAGCTTTGTGGGCGAGACTATAATTTATGGATGAACCAATCAGATTTAGGATAACAGTTCTTGGATTTTGGCGAGAAATTCACTCACCCATTTGGCAAAATAGCGTCGTGGCACTTTAGCTGGTCAGTTTGTGATAAAAACCATAAATCTAATTCCTAACCCTAACTAGCAACTTTGAATCATAATCCTTATTCTTTAAACTGCTTTATAATCCCCATTTTGCCCTAGTAAGTAGGCAGACACTCTTAAGGTCAGTTTAATGTTGCTCAAAGATCATCCATGAATCATAGCTTCGCCCTATAGGGTATTGATAATAACAATAGCATCTAAATAACTCATTAATAAACGTACAAGGACAAGTAATGATTGAGTTGCACGCCATACAGTGAGTGTTTCATACGTACACATTTCACCGATTGGGCTATCGTGCATCATATCTCATCAACGTATCGAAAGCTATTAATAATTGGAAAGGATAAATAAACTCTGTAAAGCTTCCACGATGTCACGACAGAAAACAGACACTAACCGATCTAAATAAATAATATTACAAAAGACTTTTCTATAAATAATGGTTTATGGAACTAGAATATTAAATGAAAGCAGTTGCATATGTTTACTTGTCAGAAACTACTAAATAAGACCCGATACACCAATCTGTATAATTCCTCCCTAAGGGTTTTGACAGTTAGTGGCTCAAAGACATGCAAAGTTCTTGACTTGAATGCTATCAAGGCACAATATATAAATATTGAGCTAAATGATACACTGATTTAAAAGATGATGACTACAAAACAGTAGGTCCTCAGATAAACGCATACTTAGTTGCTCTGCTCAGCTCGCTAACACCACTCAGTATCCCAGAGGTAATGTCTTGTATAGCTTGCTGCATGCTTATACCTCCAAACGTAAATCCGCCTAGACCAGAACCACCCATGTTAGCCGTTGAGTCAGTTGTTGCAGTTCCAGAAGATGATTGTTCTCTGGTAGTTGGAGGGGGCCTGACAACAAGATGTACCACTTTACCTTGAATACCTGAATATAAAGAAAACTGAATTAAGAAATATCCATATTTTCCTAGAATTTTAAACACCAGTTACGTGAATCACTCCATAAAACGTACGAAACGTGTCCCATAAGGAAATCAGTGTGGTTTTGACGGATTAATAGCCCGTGAAAATGATGAGATTTTGCAGTCTACAATTAAATACAGTGAGGGCGCAGTAGACTGAGTCCCGATGAAACAATGTCATAATAAACAGCCGGACGACAGTAAGATCTGAGAGAAGAGACATTAGGTCAACTTTATTGGGATATGTTGACCGTGAAACATCCATTTTATGTAATGGTTATCCTTAGTGGTGCTGCCTTATCAAAACAGAAAGGGATTTTAAATGTCAATCTTAAAAAACAACAAGAACTGCCCACAAAGAGCTAGTACCCAACTGGGACTGTGCAGCTGTCCTTTGGGATCTGCAGATATGCTCTTACTTTGTCAAGACTACTCCTGACAGTCTACTTTCCAGGCTACTGAAGAACATGAGTTACACTGTTGTCAACCATAAACCATGAAGTGGTCATTGATTCTTATTTTTATTAAAGATCTCGTTTATTTCCAGGCAACCACTAACCACAATTATCATGCGAACCTTACCCAGCTATTTTACACCATTCGTGATGCATGAAGCCAACAATCACTTTGTGAATTGACGTCAAGTTTTAGTCTGATTACCCTGTTTTCTCTCTATTTAATACTTCAGTCAGCGCTCAGTGTCACAATAGGTGACTCTGATATTTAACACATGTGTTAGGTCACCTTAGTGAACAAAGGTCTCCAGCTTTACTCACTATACCCACCTAATTCCCTGCATCTAATCTCATCACTGTCAAAGATCACTGTTTACAACCATTAATTAAAGCTAAGCAGACTGTTGCTATCTTTAGAAATCTCACCTACGTTATGGATGACCCAGTGCGCTCAATAAATTTGTTCCAATATTGTCAGACGCCAAATATAGCTAACTACACTTCCCAAATAAATGACTATATCAATGTACTCGAATGCTTCGCTAGGCGTCCAAAAGAAAGCTTTGTATAAGGCTTCAATAGTAATAGTTGGGGAGATAAAGATATGGATGCGTACATGAATTCATTGTGTGAGACTATAATTTATGGACGACCTTTGTGAGACGCTGAAGTGAACATGAGTGCGTCTACCTGTCATCACGAACTGATAACATCTAAAATGACAAGGCGCTGTTTGGCCAAATAGGTGAGTGGATTTCTCGCCGAAATCCAAGACCTGTTATCCTAAATCTGATTGGTTCGCATATAAATCATAGGTTTACCACTCATTGTCCTTGCTCAAGATTTGGTCTGAAATCCTGTCACACTGCTGTTTAGTGATAATGACCCACAAGTTATCATACCAGTTGGGATTAGGATTGGATGGGTTAGACATTTCGATGATGTTCACTAGCTTAGATGTAATCTCATAATGCACTTAAACTAGGATTATACTATCAGTAGGATCGGGTATAACAAAGCTACGAATACATCAGAATAACATGTAAAAATTAAACTGAAAGACCGACGTATAAGTACAGTGTGGCTATGATGTTCGTACCGCATCTATTAGCACAAAACAAGAATCAGATAGTGTTAACTTAACGAGTGAAGAACACTAGGCTTGTTTGAAGTTCTGAAGACTGGTGTTTTACTAGTACGTGTGGTAATTCATAAAGATAAACTTCTATTCAGATGGACTAGACAATATTAAGTCGTACATTTCTGATAGTATTTACTTAGTATCTGCTAAATTACGAGTCGCAACTAGATTAGCTAAATGTGCCCAACCGAATTAAAAGGATATTTTCGTAAAGGTAAAACGATCTTGTTGCAACAAAACTATCAAGTGAATAAAATATAATCAAAAACTTGCCGCATTCCAACAAAGTTTGTTCATTGTTGAGAACTCTCCCTTGAAAAATAAGGCGTTGTTGATCAGCTGCAATGTTCTATAAAATGGGTAGAATTTTGAAAAACGACTAACCAACTTCTGTTCTATTTCTTTTTTGAAATTTTCGATATTCATAGCCTGGAAACGAGTCAGGCAAAAAAGAAGTACATACCTCATTTTCTATATGAAATACAGAGTCTCTCCCATCAAGCGTTTTTACCGTCACGTCAAACATTTCCAGGAATAAAAGACGTCGGTCAAAAGACTAGCGGGACCGAAACTCTGGATCACGATGATACATTTAAACACAACTGAACAAATGTACAGGATTTAGTCAGATTAATCACATATCTTCCTCGTTTAGACCGTGTTTTCATTATTTACAGGATCTTTCTCTTAAAGTATTCATGTAAGTTTCATCGTTTTATTAAACTTGCCTCCTCATAATTTTTGAAATGAACAGGGAGAAAGTATTGAGTTTAATAGCATGTATCTATTTGATTCTGTTTGGTTCTCATATAATGGCTTCACAAGCAAAGTCATAGCAGCTGGACACTGCATTAGCCAGAAGTACTATAATATGAAAATTTTGTGGTTTTTATAACTGTGATGAAAAAGCCATATTTCTTTTCTCTTTACGGATTTTTTTGTCCAATCGCACTTATATTCAAATTTCTTGTTTTTTATCATTTATGAGTAATTATTAATTAACTGATTGGAAATTACGTTGTTTTTGGTATTTATTTAAGTACGACCAACGTCATTCCTTTATCTCCTATACTGACCACTGTTTGTTATTGATTAGTACAATCGTGTCGCTATATCTTTTTATGCTATTCCTCACTACATTATTGGAATTTCAGTTATCTTCTTCACGCTTATATCAACCATACCGTGGGGTATTTCATAACCAAGTGAATTCTATTTACTCTGGTTACTCCAGAGGCGACTCTTATGCAGCAATCACTGCATACCTGTTTTCATCATTTTGTCATTCAAATAATAGCTTTGTTTTGCATGTTATCCTTTTACCATTTTCTTATTTCGCTTTATGACAATAATATTTGTTTTCTCATGTGGTTGTTTGTTTTGCGTATAGTCATACCTTGATTAATTTCTAGCATAGGTCCATTGCAAAACTTATTCTGAAGTGAAACTATTAAATCAGTATAAAACAATATGTTCAGTAACCTAGTGGAAGGTTGATAATTACTCATTTCATGCTATTGCCAACTAGATTCAGAAATTTGGATCTACATGCAGAACAACTAAACTGAACTGTAGCGGAATACGAATCCCAAAACAAATAATTCAGTATGTCTTCCATATTTGATACGAACATCATTAGTTTTACCAAATACAATTAGATAGAGACATGTGGTGGCATTGGGCCCTAACCACACAATCCTCAAAGCTGAACATTAAACAACTGGGAAACTAGATATTCAGTATTTAACGCGGAGAAAACCCAAAGATGGAGAAGGTAGGAGGAATGAATAGAGTCAATTCGAATTGATCAGACGGCACGGCTCGGCCTTGCAAGCGTGGCCAACCTTAAGTGTTGTAACACAATCTTTTGTTCCTATTAAATATATTGTTCTATCTCTAGCTTAAGTTTTTTCTCCATCATATATTGGTGATTGTTACGATGCGATGAGTTGGTGTAGACAATGATGTGACTTCCACATGAGATCTTATAAATTAGGCAGTTACATCACGACATCCACAATTTTAGGATCGGGTCTATTATTAGAGCAGTACTCATATTATAGTAAACCATAATTTTACAGGCACTTGGTCAGATATCCACATGACATCACGAGTGGGTACGCCATGTGACTCATCTGCCACAACCGTTAGCCAGTCCACATTAAACGCTTCCCCATTTACAGATAGCCTTTCGAATATATCGTAGAACCTCTTCATTTCCGACTTGACCGGGTTGGCGCAATTCCATTAAAAAGGTGTTATGTGTAAGGACGTTGTCCAATTCTGAATATCTGAGTCTGCATTAGTGGTGTGACCGATGTGACCTGGTACACCAGACAGTAAACTGTGTCTGTTATTTGTTGGAACACTATATATCCTTTTCTAACCCTTAGTTTTACATATTGTGACATTGCTTTCATATATTCGTGTATTTTTTTCTCGTCGATCGATATATTTTATCTTCGTCATGACGAAACATACTTAAGTTGTTTGGGACTAAGACTGTTTTGCCTCCCACATTTCAACTAGTGACGTTCTAACCCGAGAATAACAAAGTTTTGTTCTGCTATACATAAGCTGGCTTCCACGAACACGGCGTGACAAATGCACTTTCGCAATTCATTCCATTAATGAATTCACTATCGCGCGATCCTGACGGTCACTTCACAATTACTATAATTTCTATTAGTGTATGGAAACTACGAAACTTTAAAAAAAGCTATTTTTAAGCGTAGAGACCCAACCGACTGATAAAGGTTAGATCGACTTTTCTACAACATCGAGCTGAAACACAGCGAAGCAACAGAAATGTTGCTACGAATGCGAGAGGTCATCGGTCAGTGAACCTTTGAGGACGGTCTGTTTGGACAACTTTCTTGTCTAAGTACTCCCAACAGGTGCGGGCAGTCCTCATCTAATTTCAAAATAACGCTGTAGGCGAACTAGCTACACCTGCCGATCGGATTCTGGAGATCTCCAGAACCCTCAATACCGAGGTTTGTTCTGTCAAAAAATGAGCCTTAAATAACAAAAAACGACGTCACAGACGTTTGTCACGCTCTGACTCGTTATCTGGACATTCATCGTAGTCTTAGACACCCTCTCAAAGAAGCCCGTTACCGCGAAAATCTGTCTCTAGATCACGAGAAACAGATATTTCTTACTGTTGATGGTATCACAGCAAATATTGTTAAATTTTCTCGAAATTGTAGAAAACCTTGCAGTTTCTAATTGCAAATTATACCCAGTCACTGCTAAACATATAACTTGTTCATTCTATCAACGGACAATCGGCAAGTTCACCGAACTGTACCAAATGTTATCAAAATTGCTTTGTTCAACAAGCAATATGACGCGTCACATCAGGACTACAGGACCACCTGTATTTCCATACGCTTGAAAACTAGCTCCTAAAAGGTGTATATTCGAAAATAGATCTGGTCAAGGGATTCTACGAATTCCCATGTCTGCAGACGACATCCTTTTGACTGTTATCACCACCCCATGAGACTCTACGAACTTTCGGAGATGCCTTTCCATTTAAAAATACTGCGCAAACTTTCCAGAGTTTCATAGATGACGCCCTTAAATATCTCACTCTCGTACATGCATGTATAGATGATTGCTTTATCGCGAGTTCGGACATACAATCTCATCTCCAGCATCCACACCTTGTTTTTGAGCGACTGAAAAAACATGCCGTTACTTTAATCACTTAGAAATGACAAATCGTAACCGACATCTCAGATTTTCTCGGACATACTACTGATGCATGTGTCCTTTGAAGAGCTAAGTGGTGGCCAATCTGGAATAATGACAACGGACCACAGTCAAGCACTTTCAAAGGCCTGTTATCTTTTTATCGACCGTTTACACCCCGTTGCGCGTCTCTCATCAGACCATTAACCGACCAACGTTGTGAAAATATGAAAATCACCAACTTCGACGACAACACGAGTAAAGCATTTTCTGTAGTTAAGGAAATTAACAACAAAAAATTAACTTTTCTCTCACGCCAGGACGTCAAGGCACCCATTAGTATCGCGGTTGATACATCCGATTCGGTTGTCCGGAGAGTCTTGCAACAATGTGTAAACAACACATGATAACCTTTGTCATTATCTTCGAGACGGCTGAAAGCCCGTAAATCAAGGTGTAGCACTTTCGATAGGAAACTCCTAGCCTTGCATTTCTATGCACAGCACCCTCAACACTTAGGTGAAGGCCAGTAATTCATTATTTTCACTGATGACATACCTTTTACTTTCTCTCTAAGCTCACCTTTAGACAAGTACTCATCTCGAGAGTCTCGACAGTTGGACTATATTTCTCAGTTTACTTCAGACATATGACACATTTCTGGAGCAATGTAGTTACAAACGCCTTGTCTCCTATAGCTTCCTTGAACGATTTCTAGGGAATCGACCTTCTTAAACTCGTCCAGTTTCGAACAGAAGACGGCGACATTCAGCACGAGTTTTCCTCAACAACCCTAAAACTGCGTATTAAACAGTTGTGGACAGGTAAAGAAAACTTATTATGCGGCTCATCTACAGGTGAGGATCGTCCAATCGTGCCGAAATGTTACCGGCGCAACGTCTTCAATACATTGCACTTGCTTTCTCACCCAGATGTTTGGGCAACCATCAACTTCCTAGTAAAAGGACTTTGTTGGTCTGGTATAAATAAATATTTGATGGAGTGTGCATACTTCTGTGTAAGCTGTCAAAGAATCTTCCGAATCCTGAAAACATGATCTACTTCTGTTCAACAAATTAGGGAGTTTATTTCTTATCATTTTTCCGTTACGTCATTCAAAACACGTTCAAAAGATTAATAAATGCTCTGAATCCAACTATCAGCGAATAAAATCTACAGATTCAAACTCAGGCTTCTAAGTACGGTTTCGATGTTTTAATGGCATATCAAAATTCATGGGTGCCTGATCGCTGATATGAATTATTACTGACCGAGAAATCGGCCCATATAAATTTCGTCATGCAATTTTCCGCATAACGAAAGGTTTTCTTCTATTTATGAAGATGCTGGTGATAAGATTCGTGATGGTGTTACTAAACAGCCTGATATCTTATCACCGAATGTGGATAAATCTACCATACTACGGAAACTTCAGATTTTTAGCAGAAACAATTCCAGTGCATTCAGACAAGCGAATAATTCCATAAGCACTTTCAATGCCGCAGAAGGCATTGTTGGGTGGAATACAAACGAACTGACAACGATGGAGCTTACAGGTAATATAAACATATCAGGAACATATGCACGAAGGCTATAAGAGAAGACAGGCTCCAGTACTAGATAAAGCTTATGGACAAATTCTCCTCTAACCCTAAAAGCTTATTCCGTTATGCAGCCTCTCTTCGTCAAGCCAAAACTGGAGTTTCCCAACTGCTAGGTCTCAACGGCCCGACCAGCAACGATGGCGACGCCGCTAACCTTCTGGCTGAACACTACTCTCAGACATTTCAACCGACCAACATTAGCTTTACTGATCATAGTTTCGTTTGCAATTCCACAGGACTCTCCGAAGTGAACCTAAGCGCTGACTTGGTGT